GCCTGTATGGCCTGGGCAGGTAAACTGTTCCACTCTCGTATCGAGCGTGGGAAAAATGAAAATTTGAAACAGTCTTTCGTTTCAGGAATAATATTGTATTTAAAGGCGTGGCTACCTCTGGTGCGCCGCTGTGCAGGAATAAGATATTGTTCAGAGGGTATGCGCATGTAACCGTGAGTTATTTTGAACATTGTAGTCACACGTGCCTCTCTTCTTCTGTTGGCGAGAGTGGGCCATTGGAGTGTTTGCAACATTTCGGTCACACTACTGGTGCGGCCATAGTCACTCATGACCATCCGGGCTGCCCTGCGTTGTACGCGCTCAACTGCCTGCACCCCACCAGTTGTGTTACAGTTCTACGGTGTCCGTTGACTGTGATAGCCTAGGTCTCATGGTGGTGCCAGATGATATACCCTCCAACTTTGGGCGGTTTGATATCGCGTTTAACAACATTAGAAACGTTACGTACCTGCCGCCACTGCCTCAACTGAGAACTCTGCTGGATCTGAGTTTTAATTCTATTAAAACACGGCGGTCTGTCACTACGCCATTCTTTCCCATTGCTAGGCGCGTTCTAAAAAGTATCGGGTTACAAGACGCTATTTTGGCCTGTTTTGGACTACCAGTAAAACACTTGAAAATAAACAAATAATATTTAGTTGTAAATTTCGTCAAATTAAAATGAAAATATCGTCTTAACATCCTGTAAATGTTAGCTTTTTATGTTAAATCAATGATCTTTAAAAATTCGCTCAGAAAGACGATTATTTTCGGGTTTCCGAGCACAAGTCATGTAACGTTTTAAGGCAAACATCGTTCAAACCTGGCTACGTATATTGCACCAGATCCTCGATTTTTATATTTTTCGCTGACTAGGGATCAAATAAAAAATCGTGTTTTAGGGATTTTTTAATTTCTGATTTTAAGTCTAGTTTTTGTCGACATATTGGTGAAAAAAATGTATTTTTTAACATTTTTCTCATTAAATTACCCATAATTCAAAATTGAGGCCATTTTTCAAAAATCCCTAAAACACGATTTTCGGGACAACTGTGACAGTCATTTTGAGCCGTAAATGGGGTATGCTTGACTCTCCATGTTTCCAGGTTTGAACGAGTTTTGCAGACATGTCATGTCGCCAGAAAGTGTGCATTGTGTTATTCATACAGGCGTAAAGAATCATATAAGTATTCAACTTGAATACTTATATGATTTCAAGGTCACCCAAGGATACGACAGTAGCTTCGCTACATGTCACATACCCACCAAAAATTATAGCGGACATGTACTGTCCAGGAAACTGATTGTATCTATAGAAAAGTGTTGTTTTTTATCTGTTGCGAAGCACTCGGGCAGAAGGGCTTCTTTTGTCGCTTTGTTGTAAATGACCGCAGGTGACCCCGAAATGGAATGCGGGTTCGATTCGAATTGCCCAGATCGAACACGATCGAACACAGTTCGGATTCTATGAAATGTGGGAACTTTGCAGCCCAGATTTTACCACCGTGAAACTGTGTCCTGGATGTCTCTGCGGACTTTGCCAGCTTTGACCGCTCTTTTTCTACAAGGAAACCAACTTACGTACGTAGAGTTTGACATCGTCGTTGCGCATCTTCCGAAGCTGAAATATGTGAATCTAAGTATGGACAAACTTGCATCATTCTCTCAGTACGCACTGGGATGGCCATAGGTGACCGAATTAGTAATCAACAATAACCTCTTTTACTGTGACTGTCACCTGTCCTGGCTGATCACGAAGATGGAGTGTTTACAAGCCTGTAAGGGAAAATATAGACAGGCTTGTTGTTCTTGGTGTTCAGATTGTTTTATTCTTTTAAGTCCACACGCACGTTTTGACTGTAAAAGTCCGAATCAACTGCATGGGCGCCATTTGTCCACTGTGTCCACCCAGCTGATGGACTGTGGAACGACCCAACAAGCCGAGATCAAACTACAGAGCACAGAAAATGGCACTTTTCTCATCAACTGTTCGGGAACCAACATCGCACAGTCTCCATCATTGGAGAAAGAACCGTACATGATCCATAGTCTCAAAATTGCTACACCTACCATTGCTTCAACATCTGTAACGTCTATGGGCATGTAGAAAAGAATAACCAATACGTTGTTGTGGTTTTCATTATTGAAAAATGTATGACTGTAGTTTTTATTTCCTGCTTCGTCCGGCTCATAGTGAGGAAAAATCGCCGGAAATATACTAACAAGGACGCAGATCACCAGTCTTCTATTAACTTAAATCAGATCGTGCTGCCGATAGAAAACATTTCATACGACAAAACTGTTGCAGGAGGTTCAAACCCCAGACAACCAGTTGCACATAGAATTACACTTACGTCACCGATAGTGAACTCAACGCACCAGTGCACATCTAACCAAGGTTTGGATGGCATGTCTTTGGTTTCCCCGGGTAAAAAAACAAGTATACACCATCACTAGAAAACTCTGAAAACTCCAAAATGACCGTTTCGCACAACACAGAGCGCCATGCGGAACATATTAAGAAGAAGAAGGTCTCCCGTGCTCTCGCCCGAGCGTAGGGTGGTGCCCATCTCCATTTCGTAGCCCTTGGGCGACACACAATTGTGCAATGCACTACAGAAGGGGGCTGGTCCGCTGGTAGTGCTGTGTGTTTGACCTTCCCACACTCTTTCTCATATGTGCTGAGTGCTAAGCAGAGAAAGAAGTGTGTACCATTTTTTAAGTCTTTAGTATGACCCGGCCGGGGTTTGAACTCACGACCTCCCGGTTACAAAGCGAGCACTCTACCAATTGAGCTATTGCACCGGAACATATTAACCATCCAAGAAATGCAGCATGTATTGTGTATAAAGGTATGGTTCCAACAATAAGTTTGGATAAACATGCTCCTCATACAACACTTCAGAAGGCTTGAGTCGCGAGCACGACCTTTGTGATAATGACAATAGAGAATATAGTAGGCTGCATCTGTAGGCTACATCATCATTCAGTCCTTGTGTTTCGTAGAATTAATTCCTTTAATAAGTTGATCCTCTGGCATTATCTACTTATACTATTAATTTTTTTAATGTAACACCAGGACATTTAGTTGTGTTGGAATAATCTGATATTGTTTCATAGAAAATCTGATATTTTGAAGAACTTTACGCAAATGCCACCTTTCAGATTTACAGAGTCTGAACTGAGTGGGCACTTACATTCAATCTTTTACGTAGCGAGTAAAGCTTAAACTGAATTGTTCATAGAGACTTTACATTTATCTGTACCAAAATAAGCATTTTCAAATTATCGTTGGTTGATTTCTGTTGATGATAAGTTGATATTAACTTTTTTTTCTTATTCTTTTATTCCTGTTATATTACCACCTTTTCCAGTGCACAAAATGGTGTACAAAATATTATTGTACACTTCATTAGATTTGATGTGATTCTTTACTGTAAAACTGCACGTTTGATCTTTTGATTATTAATGAAATGTAAACATCTACATTTTTGACAAATAAATTTTGCACAGCACTTGAAATGTTCAGTGTTTGTCTTTTCTGTCGTTCAGAATGTAGCATATCCTTTATGAGTGAAAATATTAGAATTGATATCATGGAAGAAACAAAGTATTTTGGTAAATTTAGGGGGTGGCATATCTGATTGTGCCCAGAGATAGGATTCATTTTTTTTTTCAATTCCAGCTCTCATAACAACCGTAGCCCCAAGTTATGTAGTCAGAGAACCAATCTACAATCTCTTCTTCTTCGATACCCCCAAATAACCCAGCGAGGGGTGCCGTTAGGGGGGGGGGGAGGTCCAGGTTAAGGCGGGCAGGCCGCCAGCCCGGCCCGGAACGACTCAACATTGCGAGCCATAACTACCAGGCCGGGTAAGGAGTTCCACTGTGGGACAGTGCGGGGGAAAAGAGAATCTGTAGGTGTCTGTGCATTTGTTTGAGTGAGTGACTCCCTCGGGTACGCCCCTGTGTGGGCTGCAAAAAACTGCCGGTTTGAGTGTTGATTGCAATAATGTTGTGGGCTATTTTGAAAACTGTTGTAAGACGGGCGCTCCTCGCCCTTTCAGAGAGAAGAGACTGCAGGTAATTCCACGCAATTTTCTCCAAGACGAATTCGTCTGCATGGAATGGGAGCATCGGAGACAATTTCTAGAAGAAGAGTAGAGAAAGATAAATATTGATTTGCGTGCTTTGCTTCATATGTGCCTATCTTTTTACAAACTCGAGGGACAAACACAAGAATGGGATAGGGGGTACCGGTTATTTTATCTTGCCTTAGCTTGTCATTATCAAATTAAAACATACCGTAGCTCCAATACTAACAATACATGTACATATGTATAACAGAGGAAAGCATAAGTTCGCCGTTTCCCCCTAAATTCTACATCTGAAACTAAATTTCACGTACCAGGTGATGCTATTGAGTTTAAGTGAGAATACCATTGTAACAATACACAAAGAAAAAAACTAGAGGTAGATAATTTACCTTTAGTATGGTACTGTGGCGAATGTAACCGGCAGCCATTTTCCTTGTCCTTGGTGCTGAATCGCCTTCATGTAAATTAACCACGCTTTTTTAGCAATTCACAGCCGTCAAAACACACAAAAAAAAAATCGAATAGCCCACAGATAGTGAGAAAGCAATCAGGAAAGGTTCGATTAAAGGTAATAAGATACACATCCCCTGGGAAAGGTACTTCTAAGTGTAAATAGACACAGTAAGGAAGAACACATATTCCCAGAAAAAAGGTAGGTGTCAAGACGTAGTTTTAAGTGTAAATACACATCCAGTAAGGGTGAATGCTCACGCCCAAGTGTTAATACACTGCAAATACACATGCTCAGGTGTGAAAACACATCCCATCGCCATCCGCGGATGCCACCGCCATCCGCGAAATTTTTACGACGTATTTTTACGACGTAGTTTAGCCATCAACGTAGCTTAGCCATCCGCGTAGTTTTAACCATCCGCGTATAATACGTGTTGGCAGCCCGTTTGAAGGTCATAATGAGTGTACTAGTAAGTTTCAGATGATGAAAAAATATGCTACGAAGAAACGGCAGTAAATGTCAATATCAGACAGATTTCTACATCCTTTTAGAATATTCTTTCTTTGCCGTCCTGAAATTTTATTCGATGTCTTTAATCGCTATAACTAGAACGACAAAATCATAACTTTAGAAGTGAAAGAAATTACCCTGTCTCCTAACAATACGTCTGAAAATTCATGTCAAGTGAAAAGGAAGTAAAAGGATTGTATATTTTAGCTTCTATTACTTTGAATAGTATCATAACATTGTGTTTTATCATTAGAATGAGGTAGTTTGGTTTGTGCCATTTCCAGCAGATATGCCGTCTCTTGCTGCTCTGTGATTGGTGGTAGAAGGAAGGTCGGACAGAAGGGGAGGAAGCGGGCACAGTTGGAGCGGCGGATGACGCCCATCCCGAACGGCAGATCGTACACCTTCATGGCTTCCCGCTGTTCCAGGGTCATCTCTGTGTCGCTGCCGGCTTCTTTGTTCCAGTGAAGCAGGCCTCGCTCTTCTGCAGTTCCTGAAAAATCATATCAGGGGTGCAAAAGAATTCATCAGAATTTTACGGAATTCATGCGATCCATTACTAGAAACATACGAATTTTTCGTAAAACATACGAATTTTACGAATTTTACACACATGATCCATTACGCGGAAACATACGATCCTTACTAATTTGAGGTCATTTGGTGACTTGCCGCCGCGATCACCGGTTCCACCGATTCCCAGCATCGCCCTGCTATTTGGTCTGAAATACAAGCTACTATGTAGGGAAAGATGCCCGCATAAGTGCAGTTTGGGGTATAGCAGGGCAGGATAAGCCCTTAAAATTCTTTGAAACCGAGATACTGTACTTCTCCGTACAGTATCGCTATCGCTATCATAGTCCGCCATCTTGAACTTGCTGCCGATGTCACGTAATCGTGGCGCAAGTCACCAAATTAGTAAGGATCGTATGTTTCCGCGTAATGGATCGTATGTATTCCGTAAAAGTTGTATGATTCTAGTAATGGATCGCATGTATTTTGTAAACCTCGTATGTTTCTAGAAATGGATCGTAAGTATTCCGTAAACTTCGTATGTTTCCTAGTAAGGATCGTATGAATTCCGTAAATTCTGATGAATTCTTTGGCTCCCCTGGATATAAAGCAGCCGAAAAAAAATTTCATCGGGTTGGCAGAAGATTGGCACAACCGGTAATGTCTCTCACCTGCTTACGTATTAATATCTCAGACATCTCCTTTGGCGTTTCTGACTGGAATACTGATTCGAATTCGCCGCTATATCTTACCGATGTGTAATAGACTGGCCTGGGAGAGGGCCAGGTTAATATACAGAGTTGAAGAAGAATCAGTTGGATCAAAAAGGCGGTGTAAATAAGGAACTCATTGTCCCCAGTGATCCACCGGGACAAGGGGGGGTACAAAATTAGTCACGCTTGGGATTGTGTTCTCGGCGCAAGAGCGCCACCTACATCGGATACATGATATAGCAGAGAGAAGCAGTACTTTAGCCGGAAGCTCTGAGTACAGGCATCAAAACGTATGAAAGTGAGAAACGGTTATGTACAATGAAATTATCGATACATAAAGCAACTATTATGCCTTCTTCTTTATTAAATTTTAACAGCTACATACATAAAACCAGAGGAAATCTTAAGAACATCTATGTGGAAACTGTTTCAGATCGTGAATAAAACTGCAATACCAGGGATGGTGTTGTCCAGAATGAAGGCGATGAAGCCTCCCAAAAACATGCTGGTGGTTAACAGAACTGTGATGATCTGGTTTAGTTCAGGTACATCTGAGGAAGGAGAAATATCTCTTGTATTTTATAATCGTGTTCTAGATAACTATTTACAGCTCACAAACAAGTTCAATACTTAGCTACGTATTGGAATATCTGATGAATGAATCTCTTCAACGTTAGCTACTTATTGATATTAAGTGCATGTTTAGGCATTTCCCTGCCTGCTAGTTTCATGAGATTAAACGTTTACATCAGAAGGGCCAGGATTTAATTTTTGAGAATATCAATTTACACTCGTCATTATTTGCATGAAGGTTTTCTACCTCCATATTATTTGGTAGTCTCTAACATTTTTTTCATCAACTCAAGTTTTAGGAATCTTGTCTTTGGCAGGTTTGACTGTACTTAGGCCACACCAATTAAATTTCTTGGTTAACGGATTCGCCCGCTTCATTTTTTTTCTGATTTGCAAATAAAAATAAAAATTCAGAATCAACTGCAAAATGCTCATATTTTCCCCTGAACAGTTGAAAACAGGCCTTTTCATCCTAGTTGTTACAGTTATTCCATCTTTCAATGCAATGGTATCATTAAAAGTTAAAAATTCATTGTTTAAATTTTGAACCAGCCTGGTGTGTTGACTTCACGGCTCCTTTCGTACCATTTTGGGCCATAATAGGATGCCTAAGCCTGTTTTTTTTTTTCTTCGCCCGCCCGCCCGCTCCATTATTTTTCTAGAAAAATCCGTCAACCAAGAAATCAAATTGGTATGGCCTTAGGAAGACTTACTTGTTTCAATAATTCCAGGATGCTTCTTGAGCCAATAGGGCACAGCTAGACCCATCAGAACGGAGAAACCAAACACGAAAAGGTTCCGGGAAGAGTTCAGGTCGACGAGCTGTAGGTTGGAGACGCCGATGGCGGCGATCATCCCGAACATCACGCAGAACATCCCGCCTACGATCGGGTCCGGGATGGTGGTGAACAGGGCGCCGAACTTCCCCAGCATGCCGAGAAGGATCGCGATAACGGCCCCTGCCTGGACTACTCTCCTACTGGCCACCTGCGGAACATACATGTATGTATGTATGTATGTAAGGTTTATTGCAAGTTCCTGCCTTTAGGCTAATTGCAAGAATATGTAACATTAAAGTGAATGATGGGCAATGGATAACAATAAAGTATGTGACTACTCTAAATACTGACCACTAAATTCTAACCTGTTAGGTTTGACTTCTTTTTCTGAGACAGTGGAAGACGAATGATACTACTTTTTCTTTAATGTGACTTTAAGAGGAGAGTTGTTTTTTTTGTCTGTAAACTTAGGATGGCCTCTTTAAACAGGTCATTTCTTTTGTGATAGTAGAAGAAACAGTTTGAAATAAAATGTGTTTCGTCTTCCACCTTGTTTGACATGCACTATTTACAATTTATATAACGGGATGTGTTTACAGCCCATTGTACCATTGTACCAAAGGGGAATTCCCTTAGCTCTTTCCAACATGCATAATGAACAGTGGACCGCATCTTACTGCCCCACCCTAAAGGACTGCGACTTTTTTCAGTAGCATGTATGTCAGGTGAGCGACATCAGTCGGGATTCGAACTCGCAACCACTTAATCCAGAGGCAGGGTCTCTAACCATGAATTTAGAGGCAAGTGCACACAAGAGCAACAGGACGCAGGATCGATATCTGGCCTTGTGTCCGTGGGGAAAGGAACTTTTCTCATTTCACCCATGTATAAAATGGGTACCTGACATCGGTTGGGGAGGTAAAAGGCAGGAGAAGGAGAGGTATAGACTCCGCCTTCCAATACAGTACCTTAGGCACAGTGGTAAGCATGCCACTGTCTCTACGACCTGGAAATGGTACGGGACTACTTTTCTTTAGACAATGGAGAACTTAAAGACAAACTTTAAAAACGAAATGGATATCTACAGGAAAACAATTACTCAAAGAACTGGTATATGTATTGAAAACTGCTTGACGTTTTAAGTAGCATACACTGTTTTTTTTGTTGCGTCAGTGACTGACAAAAAAAATAATGGATGCTACTTGAAACGTATGACAGTTTTCAATGTTTCATATTGGCTTGAGTAACTGTTATCTTGTGCATATTACCTTAGTGATGCCGATGGCCCCTATGTTCTCACTGTACGATGTTGTGCCGTTTCCTGAGCCCCAGGCTCCTGCCAGGATACACCCGATCCCTTCTATACCTATTCCCCTGTTGACGGCATGGGTGGGGGGAGGAGGGGCACCTGGGCAGGGGAAGACAGTCAGACGGGCACATATATACTACCATTAGGTTGTCCTTTGAAACCTACAGTTACATAAACTAAATCAAGGTCTCATAAAAGTACTTTCCCACATTTCAATCTCAAAAATTCGTCCGCACAAGAGAGTTACAAGTGTCTGCTTCCTAAACACACAAGGAAAACAGCACTCATGACAACCATTTCCATTTCGGGTCCTTTTAATGCACAAAATGGCGACGTCAGCCCAGATAAAATGGGTCATTAGCTCTACAGTATTGCCAAAAGTACTAATGAATGTATGCTTTTACGAAAGTAGTATTTTCGTGCCGGTAGTAACAGCGCCAACTGGTGTATGTTGATGGCAATGCAGGTAACATGATAGTTGTAAGTTTTGAGTATAGAAATGCAATAGGCTTTACAAAGCACCCAGTGTCATATGCTAGTTCCCTTCACAGTCCAATTTTCTTGTGTGTTTTCTTACAATTAAAAAGCATCTCTTACAACATAGCGACATGATACAGTTTCTGAATTTAATAATACATCTGTTAGCATGATGCATGATATAAACATTTTAAAGAGAAGGAAAAATCAGCTTTACCGGACAGCCTTGCGCATGCGTAGTAGTCACCAATAGACTCGATCACGGAAGCCAACACTCCTGACAACATGCCGAACACCCCCGCAACACTCACAGTGGGCATGCCCCATTGGCCTGCACAAAAACATATTGGTTACAAAGAACATATCAGAGAACAATACTAATGTCTTATAATGCCAAAATTACTTCCAAAGGAAAGAAAGTGTTAAGAAATTAAAATAAAGAATCTATTACTCGCAATACTATACTCTGTGTGTTTAGTCATTTGTTCGACCTTTATCAACACGTAGGTTTATAATGAAGGCAACTTTTTTTATTCGAACACTCGCGTCAGTTTTAAGGTTCTTAGTTGATGTCATCTATATAATAAAACAAACATGACCTTACCTGCATAAGGTAACCTAAACCAGGGTGCCTGCTGCAGCACACCTATCCTCACGTCTGTCCTTGCTGTGAACCCTGGAACGTTCGACACAGTCAGGATGGCGCAGAAAATCCAGGCAATGACCATGGACATGATGACCTTGAAAAGATAAAAGTGAGACATAAACATTCGGCAACTTTCATCAAGAATGTACTATATGTAAGGGCCTAATACATCATCAATTGCAAACGGGGGGCATCTTTGGGTTTGTCGTGCATGTACCAAAATTTGGGGTCGGCCCTATGTTACGACAGCCCTATGTTACGACAGCCCTATGCTACGACAGCCCTATGTTACGACAGCCCTATGTCACGACAGTCCTATGTTTTGACGCCCCCTTTTTCCAACGCGATTTTGGCTATGTTATGGACACCAAATGATAAATTGTAAATGTATTGAGAGTAAGAATCTCGAAGGAAATTTTCACGTAATATATTGTCACTGACAGTGTTTCCGCCAGACTGCAGCTTAGAGATCCTGAGAGGCCGACCAGTTGGGAAGGGCCGGGTCGCGAAAATTAATGAAGTTATGGAACACCTCGCGAAAATTAACTGAGGGGGCGGGGTATTTGTTTACACTTGTTTACAAATTGTAACTGTCCACAAGCATTCTTCATTTTTTTTACAAGTATTGACATAAAAACACTGCTACAAATGGTGAACGTATCGTCAGGAATACTTAATTAGGACATTCAGCTGCAAAACTCCGAACATCGGCATAATTTATTTTAATTGTAACCTCCGGTAGCGCCCGCGATAGCCGGATTTTAATAGTGAAGAGCCTTGCTTCGTCCGTACTTCTTCCGTACTAGCAACATTTCCGCTACAAATAACTAGTTTATATCACGCCAAAAATACATCAAAACATGTAAAGAAGCATCATCTTTAATATCTCTCGTACACGAGACAAATTTTGAAAATAGTTTGGCTCTATCGTAGCTTTCATTGCAGTTTTATTCAACAAAAGTGTTCCTTGGTTGTAAAATGATCACTCATCTGTTGTCTCCAGTACAGTTTCAAATGGTAGCGTGATCGTAGCGTGCGAAAAATCGACGTTAAAAGTCAGAAAATCGCCGGAAAATAACTTGCAGCACGCATTCGCTACCTCGCCGTAGAAGAAAATACGCGCCATTTTCTCATTAATATGTAAGTAGCAGCGTGAACTCTACGCTCTGGTTGGTTGACCTCATATGACCTGCGCTCTGATTGGATAGAGCCATCTTTGCCGGCAGAGCTGCAGAATTTGTTTCTTGGCGAAGAGAGTTTAATACACTACGCTACTTTCTACGGTGTTTCTACCTCTACTTTATAGTAACATTCCATTAAAGAAATTCATTATTAAGAATTTTTGAGAAAATGTATAATGTATCCATATGGGACGATTTGTGGTGCCTTTCGCGTATTCAAGCAAGGCGGAAGTGTCAGCGAACCGCGGCGTGGATAGCGAACTGCGGCGTGGATTTCATGCAACCCGCCTGCTACAAGACCATCAAAAATACTCTCCAAGCAGAGGTTTGGGTTTTGGGGGTATTTTTAGCGTGTTTTTAGCCTTTTTTATCGGGGTCTCTCTTTTGCACTGAATTTTTTTTCCACCAAACCCAACGTTGGGTTTGGTGGGGAAAAAATTCAGTGCAAAAGAGAAAGGGAATTTTCAAAACCGAAATGATTTTGATCGAGGAAAAGGATTTGTGGATATATTTTACCGGATGGAAACTTGAAAAAAACGGCTTTTGATGAGATTAACGTATGCGAAAGGCGCCGACATCAATTCGTCAGCACATAACAATAACAATAGCTGTCGTATAATAGGGCTGTCGTAACATAGGGCTGTCGTAACATAGGGCTGTCGTAACATAGGGCTGTCGGAACATAGGGCTGTCGTAACATAGGGTATGAACCCCAAAATTTATCTGTTTTGTTTCTAAATTAACTGTCTTATATCTTTGTCCATATCAGGTTTTTTAGTAATCGCGGCTTGCTTGTAAATCCCCTGACATCAAATATGTACAATGACCTACAACACATGTGACTGTTCCAAATGCATTAGTCACCTTAAAAACATCCAATGAAATTTCAGACCAGCAAAATTGAAAAAAAGCAATTTCAGGCCAGCAGATTTAAAAAAAGAAATCTGTCAGGTATTAAAATTTACTACCATTTCTTAGCACATTTATGTCATCATTTTATAGTTGGAGTGTTTGAAATGGCCGAAAATCATCAAGAGAAGTCCCTCCTTTTATTTTGGTAAATAGCTAAAGATCCTGCAATACAAAAACAGAAACCATTTTCAGTCTACGACATCACATTTTGGCTTCACAGCTACAAGTGGGCTTAAGGATAGGATTGATCCAACTTACTACTGTAATATTAGACGAAATGTAAAAAAAATGACTTTTAAAATCCAGTTTCGCCACCCTGAAATTCAACTGGATGCCTTAAACTGAGGCGAAGTTTGTTGCTCTCTTTCAGTGGCTAATAATGGTGCAATTTAATACATTGACAAATACTGCTCATTATACCCATTTCCAAACTTTTCTAAAGGAAATACACAATGATAACAAAGGCGGAGCTGCTAGAAACAAATTGAGATCGTACAGACTGTTCAAGACAACGTATAATGGAGAAAAGTATCTAAATCTCGACAATATACGGCATAGGACCGCCACTGCAAAACTCAGGATAAGCTGCCACAAATTACACATTGAAACCGGACGCCATAACCGCACTCCCCTGGAACAACGAATATGTAGGTATTGTAATCTAAATAGGATAGAGGATGAGGAACACTTTGTATTAGAATGTAGTTTATACAACGAAGAGAGAGCAGAGCTTTATAAACTATTGCAATGTATGTTTCCCCATTTCATACATCTTAGCAACGCAGATAAGTTCATATTTCTGATGATCTTAGACAAACCTTCGATTATAAAATATATCTGTACTTATATCTACATCATTACTAAGAAGCGAGAAGAAACCAAATTATCGTAATTATTAGACTATATGTCCATAGTACATAGAATTAGCACTAGCTTGTACATTGTATATATTCATTGCAAACTGTGACGTCTTTCCTGTGACCTGTACTGAACCCAGTAGGTATTTGCGTACAATAAAGGTCTTCATTCATTCATTATATATTGTGCCTCGGGAATACAAAAGATTAACCAAATAAAAGACATGCAAACCATTTTTGTCCCCTGACAGAATGTACCTGTGGTACTTACTGGGAAGAGTTTGAAGACAGGTAAGGAGGCGGCATGGCAATGGCAGCCTGGGTCTCTACTGTACCCACAACAGGGGATGTTCACATTCCTCAAGTACTGGGAAAACAGGGTAATCAGGATTATAGTTCTGTAAAAAAAACAGAAAACAATAGGTGGGTTACCATTACAGCACTTCAGGATAAAACTTCATGATATCATTCGACTGCACTAAACAGAATGAAATGTGCATTTCAACCTAACCTATAAGGGCCGTGCGGAAACACAAACACACATTCACATGCATACATATATACAGGCATAACAAAAACAATACCTCCAGTACCGGCGCAATTGGGACCGAAGCTTTAGCGGGGAGAATTATCCAAGGGACCGACAAAAAGAGATCACAGTGCCAGGCCGTCCTTATGTATATTTGGTCAGTTGTACGGGTTTGACTGTACAAATAAACGCCAATGATAATGAAAAGTAATCTCTTTGCGGCAAAGGGAGTCTACATATTGGCACCCGACATTTAAAAAAGTTGAAGCCATCTGTAACGGTTATGACTATTGTAATTATGGTAATATGTAAGTGACTAGATGGAGGGACTTCATAGAGAGATATGAATATATTAACCCGTTAGGTAGGCACTGATTGGTTGGTGAGAGCAACCAATCAGGTGAAGGACTGTTGTTAGCATAGTTGAGCTTGGAAGTGACAATCGCTCTGCAAGTTAGTTCGTGACCGAGGATTTGGGTACGTGTACATGTGTAGTTGTAAATTAGTAGATTTTGTAACTGTTAGTACCTCATCTGTGTAATCCTAGACCATTGGTAACTCTCAGTGTAACTAAGCGCCCGAAATATTACACATACGTTCTGCGGCAGATTCACCGGGCGGCCAATGATTACAGGAGGCCAATGGATATGGAAAGGAAAGGTCTCCCATGCCCTTTTACGCAAAGCGTAGGGTGGTGCCCATATCCATTTCTAATTCTGTAGCCCTTGGGCGAGTTGTGCACACAGTTGTGCAATACACTACAGCAGGGGGCTAGTCCGCTGGTAGTGCTGTGTGTTTGACCTTCCCACGCTCTTTCTCATATATGCTGAGTGCTAAGCAGAGAAAGAGGTGTACCATTTTTAAAGTCTTTGGTATGACCCAGCCGGGGTTTGAACTCACGACCTCCCGGTTACAAAGCGAGCACTCTACAAATTGAGCTATTGCACCGGTATAAATATGGATATAGACGACCAATATATAGACTCCTCTTGCCCCAAAGAAACTGCTTGAAGAGTATACTAGAGGCCCACTCACAGAGCTGCGATGCCCCAGTGTTTGCCCGCGAAGTCTGCTGCAGCTCCCAGCAGGGCCAGGCCCACCAGGGTGATGGTGGGGGCAATGACCAACGGCCCGATAAACCTCATCAACAATCCCACAATGCCGCTGAAGCCAAGAAACACCTGAAAGATGGCTGACACCATGATGGCACCTTGGATCTGGTTAGGACAGGGCCAAAGGAAGAAAATGATGAGGTTTTGGAAGATTTACTTACTAGTCTAACCATGTATAATTATGACCATAAGTACTAGTATTATCACTTACTTTGTTAGGACAATTAGTATTCATTCTGACAAACTCTTGCTGAAAAACCTATATAATAGTTATGTAGATGTACAATGTATACTGAAGTAGTAGAATTGAAGTATGAGGAGTATGCCATAAATGATTATACTATTATTGAACATTCACTGTAAACTACGTTTTGTATGTGCATGGCCAGTCTTACCTCTCTGACTCGGCTCATCCATACTTCATCGTTGTTAACCGTCTCTCTGGTGAAATTCTGGGTCCCATTCAGACCAGACGTTGTATCTGTAGAATAGGTGATTAGTGAAAAACACAATGTATAGTCCTTCCTTGTACATATTGATAAAATCAATGTGAAGACAAAGGTACTCAAAATACAGAACTGTACATGAGTAAGAGTATTGAGTAAGAGTGATGTCAAAGTATGAAAATCGGATATTGGAATTTTTATACACAACCGGTAATTCTTCCTACCTTGCTTTCATTTCGCTGTCTGCCAGACATTCACCTCAGAGCCTCTGACCGGAGTACTGCTTCTCACCACTATATTAAAATTACTACTACTTCTTATGGCGCTTTTGTGTCGAGAACACAATCTCAAACGTGAATATAAGTTTGTATCCCCTCTCGTCCCGTAAACGAAGTGGTCTTGATAAAAAGTCAATCCTAGTGATGAACCAATACGAGGGGGGATACAAACTTAGCCGCCTTTGGATTGTGTTATTGCCGCGAAAGTGCCACCTACGTCGGCCATATAGCAGCAAGAAGCAGTACTCCAGTCAGAAGCGTTGAGAAAGATACCCGACAGGCACCCTGAAATATGTTTAAAGTTAGAACTTTTGATCCAACACAAGAAATTCTCTCACCCAGAGCTTTCGACCAGTCACTCTGGTCTTCCTCAGTAGACTGACCCAGTGAAGCTTGTCACGTGGCTTCTTTGAAGTGTGACGTCAACACTGGGTCAAAGGTATCTGGTAGACTATGTCGGCCCCGTGTTGGACCAAAAGTTCTAACTTTAAACATGTAACTACCAACACAGATGAACTTTCATGATACCCTGAAATATCATTGGATGACTTTAAATCCCACATTTCGTGCAGTGTGTAAAAAGGAAAAGATAGCTTACTTACTGTCAGGTGCAGGACACTGCCAATGTGGTAGAGCCAGGATGGCGAATGTTGGAGCCAGGAAGGAAAACGTACCACCCTGAATAATCGGTAACCTAGGCAACAACGTAAACACATTGTTAACGTTAGTGTAAGTAAAATAGAAATGCGCAATCCAAACCCAGTCTAAATGTCATCAAATGTATTTTGGGGGCTAAAGTCAAACACAACCTGAAACATTTAGTTTTGCATAATTTCATAATTTGAATAGCGTTAGATGTTACTATATACATTGTATGCACAAATATGTTGAAAAGTGGAAGTATTTTACAAAAATATTTTAGATGAAAAATATTAATTTTTTCTTCAAAAATATTACATAATGCACCTTTAGAATTATGTGCATAATCATAATACTTTACCTGACGCCAAAAATGGTCTGTAAAAGTGTACAAATTCCAGACACAAAGAAGATTGTGCTGATGAGTTTACTCTTGGCCAGGTTGTCATCACCAATACAGAGGGCAGGAGACAGAAGGAGCGGAATTGCAATGGTGCCACCAAACATGGTCAGGTAATGCTGAAATCAAGAAATACAACATATTCTTAACCGTTGTCCTGCTGGCAATTTTTGCATTGTGCAACCCATGTATATATGGGTCCCGCAGGACAATGTAGAGGAATATTTATTGAGTAAAGGTTCATAATTACTAAGATAAATATGCGCATAGATACAATTTCTTCATCTGCCTACCATTAGACAAAAATATAATGTCTTTCAATTTAAACTTACACCTTGCTGTTATGATGATAAGGAAATCCCACTTCTGACACCATTTTATGTTGAAGTCATACTCATGTGTCATACTCATGCCTTGTCTTACCTGAAAGCCCAGCAATAAACACAGGTACCATGGAGGCACATCCTCAATGCCGTAGGCAAGGTCCAGTGGTTTGTTTTTCAGCTCGGTAGTTGACTCGCCTTGATTTTCCACGTTCTACAAAATAGAATATTTGGATGATATTGCAACATTTTATACATGGTAACTTATCAAAAAGTTTATGAAACTTTGCCGATTCTGAATCCTCCCTTTTAATACTGTTTTATGGAAACCCCCTCATTCTGTGACTCCTACAAAGCAATTCATAATAGTGTGCACGTCAAAGTAACATTTTTATGTACTATTTATTTGATTATTTACTGTTTTGGCTGTTTATATTTTAGCACTTTCGACTAGGGTAGCACAACTAGCCTGTGGCTATTACAAATGGCTTGCTATTCTGACAAGACTAGACATTAATTACAATATCATATTATTTGAGTAGATTAACAGTCTATAACATTATTCTTAGAAAGAGTGTAAACAAGTCGGCCGAATACAAAATTTTGTTTACATGTCATAAATGCCCACTGCCTTTGTGCTGCAGTACTGTACTCGTAGTACTCTACACTGCTCAACACCCTTTATAAATCCTACTTAGTAGTTGTTGGAAAATGTAACAAGTATGCGACAATTCTCCGTAAAGTTTTATATTTTACATGTCAATGGTACCCGTCCGACCTGCCATGGACTGGCCGGATCTTTCGTCCGTGTTCCCGACCTCCATCTGACCAGGTTCGGCTGACGGTCTCGAGCACACTGATCAGATTTAGGTCATGCTAGTCTTTCTATACGAATCGAAACGAAGTTAGATTTGAGTCACATTTGACCCCTGAACATGCCCGGAACATTGCTGACTTACTCCCGAATGGTAGAATAGTGTTCTGCTAATTGACAGCCGAAAACCAGCCAACCATAATTAGCAGCTCCTGACCGCCTCCAAATACTTTTAACATTTTGAAACTATCGGCTGGTGCAGTAGAATAACTGCCGAATTCACCGAGAACCAGCCGACTTTGAGACGATCTTAGCTTATAACCATGGGTGTCCAGCGTTCTGCTAGTGTTAGGGAGGCCAAATTTGTGAATGTGAACAGGGACCTGATGATGATGCGGCCGGTATAATGGTGATAAACACGGTAAATATAACTCACCTAAAACATGTCCCCAAAATGCATAGAAAATCGCTTACCTCTACTGGTGCCCTATTTGCAGATTTGCCGTCCATCCTGATGATCTAAGCAAACGTTGGGAGTTTGCAAGCGCTCAACACAAGTGCAAGATAAGACAACGAAGTAAACTCTCTGCCCACCTAACACGTATTTGAATGACCGTTTTAAAATGGCCCAGTGTCTTGGACCCGGGTAACCAGTATGTGCAGTTGTCTAATCAGGTAGGTATGCTAATTTTCTATTGTATTCATTCTACCGTGCAGAGCTGTCCCGCGGCAATACAATTTTTTGGTGACGCCCGTGGGCAGAGCCCTTTAGTATACTATATTGTATGAATGAATGAATGAATGAAACTTTATTTCCGTGTCGTGCGCTATCCCGCGCCCAGCCCGTGTGGGCTTATACGACACCGATTCAATAAGTTATACATAAACAAAAGACGACCAAAGGAACAGATAACAGAATCCAAACAAAATAAGTATTGTATGTCCTGATTGTAAAAATTGTAGGAATTTGCTCTGGTTAGATTAGGTGTATGCTGTGTAGTCACTTTTTTCGACCCTCTCAGTGGCGACAACTAGCCATTAGAATTAGACAGATTTCCGACGGGACTTGCTGGAATAGAAGCTCGTTATAATTCAATCACAATCACGCTTCATTTCTTGACCAACATGCACACGACGTGCTGATTCAAACAAGCAAGACAGCGCATGTCATGGTGTCTTCCAGAAATACAATATCTTTTTTGCAGATTTTTCGTATATTTTTTTCACAGACACATCCCGTAAACATTACTAGAAATACCTACAAACAAATCGCTATTATTATGGCGTTGTTACGTACGCTTTGGAATTTCACAGCTCATGTACACAATTTGTGATGTCAATATTAGCTTACATGATTATAAATCGTAAGTTTCTTCATAAATTTACGCAAATAACAAGGTGTTCATTTTGTGCTACAAGGAGACAATATAGAAAACAATGAGGCTTGCGAAATTCAGATTCACCTAAGCGTGCAAACAATAACAAACAAGATGGCGTCACATGACAAACGCTAGTAGGTACAAACGAATTTTAATTAAAACAACTGCGAGAGATGCGGTATGTTAACATACACACACGCACACACTCACACACACAACCTCACACACACGCGCGCGCGCGCGCGCGCGCGCACACACACACACACACACACACACACAGAAACACATGCACACAGAAACACACACACACATATACCAACATCCCAGAAAACATAACCCTCTTGGCGAGGGTAATACTAAGAATTCTGAGGAAAGAAAGGACAACAACTTTTCTTCCTTTGTACGCTTTTAATTATAATTTTCCTTTTTATACATTGTATAGGTTGTAAATGCTAAGCGTCTGGAGTTCACAAGACAGTAGAGGCTTGTAGCTTTGCCTAGGCTTGAGAAACAAAAAAAAATATAATAACAAACATATTTTTATTTCAGCTTTATTCAGTATACAGAACATTTGGAAAATATTTACATATGAAAAAAGTAAGAAGTATAAAAAGAAATCAAATCATAACTGTGTCATTTAACATATTACTGAAAGGAATATTGATAATTGTTAGGTTTCTTGCGTGTTTTTAAAAAGTGGATAACGTTGCAAAACCCATTAAACATTTTATCAGCGTTGCATAGAATAACGCTTCTGCAACAGTGGAAATCGTTATGTTATACGAGAAGATGGAGCAATAAGTAACAAGCAACAGTGTTTTCAAAACAAGACAAAACTGCTCATCATATTTTTCTGATTATATATCAGTTTTCTGATTGCCACCCCTTCAGCTTTCGAATAGCTATAGGGCAGACAGCACTATTAGATTTGGCCATAGGAACACATGCTTAAATACACAGAAGTCCTCATGAAAGTACTTGCCCATACTTCAATCTCGACAATTTTTCTGCACCAGGTAGCCACAAGGGTCTGATTCCCAAATACCGAAAGGAAACAGGGGGACGACCTGGTCAAATTCCCGGCGCAGCTGATGATAGTAACAAAACCTCAACTTTGACCTAATTTTCCATGGTATCCATCCGCACAGGCCAGACAAGACCAAACCACTCACATCTCTCTTTACGCCAAATAAACTGGTAAAATAAACAAACCTTGACCAAAGTAGGAAATTTTAGACCCTACCTGTGCCTTCCAGCCCAAAAAACTCCCAAATGGACCAAAACTTTCAAGAGAAAAGGGATTTTCAAAGGTATTAACTAGGCACTACAATCGTTCCCATTTTTAGGCGTATACTGAGCAATGCATATGTGGTGTCTGCCCTATAGGACAGGTGGATGGACGGATTGCGGTCGAGCATATAACATCACACACAAAATAACGCTATGTACAGAAAACATGTTTCTTCATTATATTTAGACGTCGTCATCGTTGAGTGTAAACGGAGAATCTACTCCCCAGGCTTTGGGTGAAATGCCATCAGAGCTGCTTCGGTAAGTCGACGGTGGTGGTGGTATGCTGGGGCCATAGATGTCTGCAGGAGCGCTGCGACGCAATGAATTTCTGTAAAAAAGAAATTAAAACAGTAATAGATATTGTTTATTGTTTATTTGAAGGATCTCCAGTAGTGAGTATAAGCATACGCTTATACTCACTATTCTTCCTGGAGTCTTAAAAAAACATTACAAACTTATTTATAACACAGACGTATATACAGTTGCTTATTGCCACACATAAAATGCAACAACCTGTAGCAATTACTTAACCTACCCTATCCTATATACAACAAGTAATAAGGTATACATAAGAGATTGTTTGAGAGGTCAGAGGTCAGTGCAATAAATAATACACTCGGTTGGGTTAAGGCAGCCTATGGCATACTATGAGTAGTATTTCATACATATGCCTGTAACTTTTGATAGCTTGGTCGCACCACAACTAAACTTCACACAGTTCTAGTAGTACTTAAAACACATTGAATAAAGGTTATTTTGTTTTTACTACTTCTGGATTTTTGGGTTAAAATCAACATTTTGGTTAAAAAAAGCTGTTTACTTCATGGCTTAACGCGCAAGCGGTAACAACACCTTTCATCGTTATATTTTACAAGCAAAAAGCCAACGCCCTATTTATTATTTTTGTCCGAGGCTATTTTGTTTTAAATGACAGTTACATTGGTTTTTTGGGCCAAAAACGACAGAAACAGCTATTTTTCTGTAATTTTTCGTAAAAAAATCGCCACAGTTAAAAAATATCGACTTATATGCAAAATAGCCTCGGACAATCTTGATAAAAAAGTGATAATATGTAAACATGGATCAATTATGCTGTTTTCAGCTGCGCGTAAAGCCGTTTAAGTCATACTCCGTGAATAAAATGCGTAACAACGCGGGTTTACAGGGGAAACATACACATGACCGCCGGTAACCCCGAATTCGAACGCGCGTTCTATTCGAATGACGTCATATCGAACATGGTGAAACATGATTCGAGTTCGAAACATGTTTGTTGCCATCGTGCAGACACACGCCCGAACTCGAACATGGATATCAGCCTAGGCCGCCTTAACCCAACCGAGCATACAAGTTCTGTATTTACATTTAAAAATCATTATGTTACCACCAATGCTTCAGGGGTCTGTATGAATGTGTGCTGTCAAAAAATGTAACATATCAACTAATGCTGCCATGACTAGTAAAATGTTGATGCGTCAGAAACATGTTTTGGGGATAAAGGGAATGTTTTTACTTACGAGTAGATGTTAAATTTTCCGGAAAATGGTTGTCTTTGACGGTGAGGAAGACTATTACGATGTTGTTTTTTTTAACATTTGCCTAAATGTAAGTATGGGTTATTTACATGTGGTTTACCACGATTTATCAATAATTTATGAATGTGTGTGTGTTTGAGTGTGTGTGTGTGTGTGTGTTCAAGCAAGGACTCTGATGAACATTATTTAACATATATTCCAAGTTTTATATAAGCATTTTATTGTAATAAGGACCTTACTTGCATAATCAACGGGAAACCCTAATATATTATCATAATTATCATTATTCATAACTTTAATGTTAACATATTTTTTCAGATGTTATGAGGTTTTTAATGTTTTTTTAATACGTCTGAACTTCAGCATTAATTCAGGCTTCATCTCCTGTAAATTCCAAGCTAAACTTACCCTCTTTTTTTCTGAATTACAATAGTCCTATCTCCTGATTATCAAAACACTACTGATCTGCACGTACTTTTTGCAGCAGACGGCTGTGGTGATGGTCACGGCAACCAGTACAACTACTCCCGCAACACTCGCGGCAACGACCTGGACCAGCGGGAACTTTTCTTCAACTTCTTCTTCGGGTGCTTCAGTAGTTAGCTCTGTGAATAAAACGCGCAGGTTTTAAAAATCATTGGGCCAGGTTAAATGTTGTTGCACTGACTGAAACACACCTGGACTCTAGTGTAAACTACAATTGGCTACACCTAGAAGGGTTTTCATCGGTAATAGCTAAAACTTGTAATGGCCATAATGAATTATTGGTAAGATTTAGACAAAGGTGAAAGTGTAAAACTTCAAATCAACCGAATGAGTAATTATAATTCAATGGGTAGTTGGGACATTTTGTCCGTTTTTGTTGAGAATTTTATTCGATTTTAAGAGGGTTGAAGGCTGCACTCCAATGGTGGCAAAATGAAAACAAAACTATAGTTGGTGTCACTCGTAAACAGTCCAGACTAAGCATGATGTACAAAATGACAAATAAACTGGTGGGCCTATCAAGTGCCATATGTAACCGGCATATGCGCTCTGTATGCTTTTATTTAATTGCGACTTAAATATTTATTCGTGGATTTAAATACCTCGATATGGCGTTGCTACCATAGTCGACATGGTTGTAGCCTCTTGTGGATTCTCTGTGCTAGGAGTTGGACGAGAACTGATCGTTGTTGTGGAAGCTGACATCTTGTCCGTTTGCCTTGTTTGTAGGATTGTCGTAGACTCAGTCGATGAACGAAGTGTCTGTTCTGTCACCGTATTTCCAGTAGTGCTGGAAGGCAATACTGTACAGGAAGACACCATGTAAATAAATACTGCCACTGATGTCGCGCTAAGCATGGCAGTAAGTTCAGAACCTTGCACCACGTTTCGAATGGCAAACAATGCATAATTATCATAGCCACTACATACAGGCGGTGACACAGGCCAATGACTTTAATAATTTTTTTTATTTACGTATCACTGACAACACTTTTAAAACACATCAAATACTTGCACTTTTATTACTTCAAACAGAGTTAAGATTCCTCATTAATCACACGGCAGCTCACATAAATGATATGATCATAATTACATTCGACACATTGGCTGTCAAGTCGTTCGGTCCCCTCCGGACAGGCACACTTATAACCTCCGGCCTGGTTGACACACTCTTCTCTAGTGGAGCAGTTGTGAGTGCCCTCCAAACACTCGTCGAGGTCTGTAACAAAGCGGCGATGTCAAAAAGATGCAAATATTTAGCAACATATGTAGAATAAGATGTATTATAATGAAACTTTATTTATTTATTGCATGTTCATTCCCGGGGGGATAAATGCACGGATGTACAGAGTACAATGTACTAGAGAGTACTACAACAATAGTAATAAAGAAAGGCCAACATAAAGTCTAAGGTATACAATGCTAAAAAAAGAAATATATATAAAGTGGTATAGATCTAAGTTCTAATGGCTTCTCTCTTTTTGAAACATTTTGAAATATACTTACATACTTCATTCATGACGTCTATATTTGTACATGATATGATATATTCAAAAGTGTCTTAATTGTGTTTTACATAATATGTGGTGGATACATATTGCAAATTGTGACAAAATATTACAACAACGCACCTTCGCATGGTTTGATCAGGCTGTCCGTTAGCTCATACCCGTCTTCACAGTAGCACTCGTAACTTCCCAGTGTGTTGTTACACAGCTGGTTACAGTGATTGTCCCCAGTAGAACATTCGTCCGCGTCTGCAGGATCAAGAGGATAAGAAAGGTCAAGAGGATAAGAAAATTAACAACAACAAAAAAAACAATGACAGACTGAGGTATCTGAAGATATATAAGACATATAAGACACCTTACCTTACCTATATATAAGATATATAAGACACCTTATTACCTTACCTATATATAAGATATATAAGACACCTTATTACCTTACCTATATATAAGATATATAAGACACCTTATTACCTTACCTATATATAAGATATATAAGACACCTTACCTTACCTATATATAAGATATATAAGACACCTTACCTTACCTTTCCTTGCCTTAGGCACCAATGGTTAAATATTACATCGCAGCTTTTACGTGATGCACAGCCACGCACGGCTCGAAAAAAAAACACATATTACGCCGCAAACTAGATTGTTATGATACTCCTGTCACATATAGCCAAATATGAGCCGACGTCAAGATGGTTGGGAGTAGACAGGAAAGCATTTGGGACTGTTGGGAGTAGGCAATGTACTAGTTGTGGAAATTTTCAGAACTGGCTGAGGCACGGTCGTCACGAAAGCAAGACGGGGCTTTCATTTGACCAGACTGATCCAAACCTACCGCCAACCTTGCTTGGTTGGATGGTATTCGGGGGCAAAGTTGGTGGAATCTGTTGAATGTGTGGCAGGGGCTTATCTAATCCCTGTACATCAGCATCACCTGGTGAGTCATTATTACTCATTTAAGACAAACTGTATGTAATATTGTATTTTACCGACCTTCACATGTGACGCCGTCTCCCGACAACTGGAACCCCCTGAAACACACGCACACGGCAGACCCACTGTCGTTCACCAGGCACCAGCTGGTCTCCGGGGCGCAGCCGGGGTTGTTACTTGACGTGCAGGGATTTGCAGCTGTAAAAAATGTATAACAGTAGCCGTTGATCGTACATATACGGACATATGTATTTAATGTAATTCATTTATTTTTATTCCACTTCACAGAAGTTAAAATTCTGAGGGGAGACGGCAACAGGAATAGTATGTTCCTCTCCGAGGCCGACTCCCTACAGACACATGAAAATACACACTAATTAATACTAGCAATTAAAAAAATGTAAAAACAAATACCACTAAAACAAGCTAAATAATGTAATGTAATGTAATAAATTAAGCACATTTAGAATAAGAGGTCTAGGACCAATTTGAGTTTCAAATTGTATCTAGTAGCTGAAAAATGATCTAGGTGTGAAGGAGGCCAGTGACCTACGACAGTAATAATAATCATACGTTCGAAGCTGATCCAGTTGGTATTGCTGTGTCATTTGCCAGTATACGAGTTGTTCCTTTTTTTACACTGTAGCAGAGGTAAAGGGCAACCTACTTGTAAATGTACAGACCAGCACTGTAGAGGAAATAAAAAAAAAATTAACTACCTTCACAGTCCTGTCCATTCGAAGACAATGTAAACCCATCCAAACAGTCACAGTCGTATGAACCGTTGCTGTTAATGCACAATTGGCTACAGTTGTTCAAAAACGCACATTCGTCCACATCTGAAATACAAAGCGACATGATTTTTTTAAACTCAACATATCTTTTATTGACAAATGAAATATCTTTTATTGACAGTAAAATGATACATATTTACATGTGGTAAACAATGTTTAAATCAAACCTCTCAAGGAACATTCATTTTCAAATAATATCGTAATATTTCCATTGTATGTACCATACTTGTACTTACAAAGCGACATGATAATGGCTTAGGCTCCTTTCATGATATAGCGGTATCATAAAGGAATTTTAGCTTATAGAGTAGGCTCTATTTATTTACCATTTAAATGATTACTCTCCAGAAGTACACCGTTCATAAATAGTTGGAAATGGTTGCCCTACTTACCTTTACAGATATGAAAGTTTATTGCAAAGACATGCCCGAGGGTTAATTGCAGTTACAAACAACGTAAGAAAGAAAATACAGTGGTATGTGAGACTATATCTACGTCTAGCATTATACTATATTCTACAACATACATGGTACTAGTTTTACTCGGTTTGTCTTCATTTTTAGGCAATGGAAGACGAATTTACCCTCTTCTTCTATAATACGTGGGTTCTTTGATTTTAGCAGTAAAATTGTTTTTTCGTAGTAGGGAGAGGTGGGGAAGTAAGGGATCATTTTGCACACTGTGGTAAATAATTGTCTTCTGATGTCGTCATAAGATGGACAATTACCTATACATGTGGCCTGGTCTTCAGCCAGGTAGAACCCTTCACTGCACCCGCAGCTGAAGTTGCCCAGGGTGTTGACACAGAAATGGTGGCATATCGCTCCTTTCTCGGTAAAGCATTCGTCTATGTCTGTAAAATGTTTAAGACAGAGATGATAATGCCTGTTCCCTGAACAAAATTAATTTTGTGGTTAGCAAATTAAAATAGACACAAGATATAGAAATGTGTCTAGCTATCTAACACATGTATCTATCCATCCATCCATCTATCTAACCCCTCTCCCTCTGTCTCTTTCTCTCTATTTAATATGTACAATTAATTATATAACGGGGGTACACCAATATTGCACGCTTTTCACGATGTTCCACCGTCACTAGCTATCAGAAAGTCGTCAGGTTGTGTTGAATGAATTTTAAAGACATTCATGTAAAAAAACACTCAGATTAGAAATGAATTTATACTGTTCATGATCCTCGCTTTAGCGCCATCAATATTATTGCTGAAATCCTTTTTTTCGACAAAAAGATAAATAACTATATAGAACTATATTTTAAATGCAAATAACAGCTGCATGCATTGACTATGTTCATTTACCTTTTTCTATAGCAAAGTCAGTGGCTACAATCACGGCGTACGTATGCATAATAAAATTAGTAAAATTGTCGTACAAAGTTTTGCCCCCCTCCTTATATTTATTTATTTATTGTTTATTTCAGGCTCAATGGCCCATAGCACAGACAGACAACATTACACAAACACATCTAAAAATAAAACATCTAAGTGGGTACAAGTGGATAAAAGACTGTCGAGCCCTTACGGCGGGCGGACCAGTCTACAGTAATGGCTCCAGAATGGGCTAGAGCAGAAGGTCTCCGAGCGGAGCAGCAGTTTGACAATTGCGTTCTCAGACGCTAACAGACGAGAAGCAAAAGAACACAACAACTTCCGACGCCTGGCGTCAAACGTGTCAACACGAGTCTGTACAAATAGGTCGCTGTTACTAGTGCTCCTAGGCTGAGACAGTAGGATTTTAAGACCATCGTGATAAGCAACTCGTAGCCTATGAATGTTTCCTGCTCTGTAGCAGGACCAGAGCTGAGCACAATACATTGCACTGCAATGTGCTATGAACAGAGTGCGCTTCACCGCATGAGAACAGTGACCAAATTTGCGGATAAGTGAATAGAGAGAGAGCCATTCGTTTATGTTGCGTCAACTTGACAGAAAACTATACAGCCTTCATATACCTATATATTCTTTACTAGAAATGTAAACAAACAAAAGGCACAATCTTTCAAGTCAGTCATATTGTAGCTACATATATAGCACTGATTGCTTCATCCGACTGCTGGATGAAGAAGAACCCTTGAATATTATGTTTATTAACTCACCTGTACACTTTTGCCCGTCTCCTTCAAATCCTGCCGGACACTCCCCACAAACGTACCCGTCCATACCGGCGGGAGGTGGGAGATCCTCGCAAGGTACTCCCGCGAAGCAAGGGTTGAAGTTCTCCGCGCAGGCGTCCAGTTCGCTCTCGCAGTTTTCCCCAGTGTACCCAGCGGTACACGTACACGGCAACTCTTCAAATCTGTGAAAAGATGTATTTTGTTATCATCATTATAGGCTGTATAATTTCAATAAGGCAGTAAGTAAACGATGAGAATGCTTTTTTAACATTACACAAAGGACAAATAAGGACGTACACTCAAGTTAAAACTTTTTTTACGCCAAATATACCTATAAAATACCAATATTTAACTGATTCCTACAGTGCACCCCCCTCCAGTTACCTTATGATGTAATTGAAAAATAATATAGTGTTTGACTTCCATATCTATTTGACGGACGTGTACATGAGTCGAATAGAGCTAGAAGCCATGATAGTGCCTTCAATATATGACTGTGCTAATACCAAGATTTTATCATTGCCACTAAATGTATAAACGGAGAATCTCTTAGTACAATATGCATTTTGGGAATTTGGTACATTATGAGTGGTGATTCTTACTTTCTAGTTCCGTTGCTCAGAGAGGTAAAGTTCCCTTCTTCTTCCGTATCCTGGTCACAGAAGCCGCCATGTCGGCACTCGCACAGGTACACAGTCGGCCAAAACTGTGCGGTAGCGTTGTTCTCATTGGTCACGTCAATCTTTAAATCGAACGGTTCCGTTGATGACACGTTCCAGGAGAAAGTTGCTGTGTCGCCGTCAGTTACGAAATTGACTTCTGGTGGTACTCTCCCCCCCAACTCGAACGTAATATTGTTCTTCTCGGAACTGCGTTTGACTCTATTGCGGTCAGTCGCGCTTACTGAGAACTCAAGAAGGTCACCAACCGTAGCAACTACTCTCTCCGGGCCATCAACCGTCGGTGGAAATTGTTCTAGATAAGTAATAAAGAAAACTTATCATTAATGCGCAGAAATACGCAGCTTGCTTTTGTGCTTGAAAGTCAGTAACTATAGATCAGTTAAAAGTGTATATTGGAGAGAGACATGTTTGTCTACGAGGGCATTTTTTTTTATTCCTACATCTAATCACAAGACGTGGTAACGGCACACTCAAGTTTTATCAACTTATATTAATGCCGCCACCAGCACAGGGGACAAGACAATACTCGTTTTCACATAAGTTAAATGAGTCGTGTAAAGTGCCTTTCCCAAGGGCACATGATCAGTGGCATGTCAGGACTTGAACCCGGGACCTCTTGGTTCCGAGTCGCTTCTCTGTCGCTACGCCACACGACCTCACAGGGCAATTTTGATTCTTCGTAATCCTCGTTCTAGGGTATTTTGTCTCTTACAGAGGAACCCTCTCTTTCGTAAAATTCCTTTAAAGCATGTATGTTTAAATGCATTTTTTATAAACAGCATTTTTTTAGATATTAAGATATGAAAACAATATACCCTACCTCTGCATGAAAGTTCATCTGAGTTGGTAAATTACATTATGAAAAACTTAAACTTTTCTCCAACTCAAAATTTGACTCACCAGAAATTTTCGACTGAATCACTCAGTCTTCCTCAGCAATCTGACCCAAATGCTGTGGACACGTGATTTTTCCCACGTGTGACGTCAGCAAAGGGTCAAAGGTTGTCTGAAGTCGATATCGTTGATTGATCTGGAGGGGGTCAGCAATCTTGGATACCGAACAGGATTACTTCAAGAGAGGCATAAAAGAGGCCATATACATCAGGGCACTTCAACCATCGCTCAACCGGGACGGGGGGCGATATCGACTTCACACAACCTTTGACCCTTTGCTGACGTCACACGTGGGAAAAATCACGTGTCCACAGCATTTGGGTCAGATAGCTGAGGAAGACAGAGTGATTCAGTCGAAAATTTCTGGTGAGTCAAATTTTGAGTTGGAGAAAAGTTTAAGCTTTTCATAATACCCTACCTCTGTTAAAGACTTCCTGATCAAAGTTCTGCTGAGTCTGAATCGCTGCTTCGCCGACGGACAAGTCCTGTGTCTGTATGATGTCAAATACACAGTCCAGGCGGCTGCCGCAGATTTCTGTAGCGTTATGGTACAGTGGATCGGAGGAAGCGTTCATCTCATTAGAGAATTGTGGTACGAATGAGTCGTTTTTGAAACTGTCGGTGTTCTCCCCTGGTCCGTACGTAAACCTGGTCTTCTTTGGTCCGTCTGCTTCGGAGACTCTCCCTAAAGAAAAATAACGATATGCTTTATAAATTGTACAATTAGTAAAATCTGAGCACTAATGGACTGATATGTTAAATCCACTCGCACTGAGTATGGTATTTTTTTAATGTCACATCTGGTTTAACGTCCTTTTATGATTCGGTTGTAAAATCAGGTGCCTATAGCACATTTTACGCAGAAATCCTGAAAATCATTCTTAATAAGAAAAACTTAGTTTAGCATGACAACAAGAATATCAAATTAAAATGAACAGACTTATAATTAAAAATAATTAGTAAACTTACATGTCTCTCCAAACTCCTCGTACAGTTGTCTCTCGGACGCATCTGCAGACAGGAGGGTGCCGTCAAACGCAACGAAGTCGTTGGCTGTATCATCGTCAAAGTTGCCCAACAAACCCGATATTTTACCTCTGAATTGGTCTGGTACAGCAAACTCAAAGTGCAGCATTGACTAGAGAGCAATAAAAAGGAGTATTGTTTCTTAGAAAAACAAGCCCAGATGGTGACAAAAGCACAGCAGCGAACACAAATACTTTTATACTTATACAAATACTTATTATTTTTTTAAATCTCTAGCAACTTTCCTAAAGAGGTAATGGGGGCCGGTACCGACTTCTGACCAACTTTGACCTAGTGCTTACATCACACGTGGAAAAAAGGCATGTATCTACAGTGCTGGGCCAAAAAGCTGTTAAAGACAGTAAAATCCGTTTGAAAATTCCGATCAAATTCCTTTGAGTTGGAAAATAGTTTTTACTCTGTAGATTACGAACTCTGATGAAGTCCATGTTAATTACAAGCTATCACCTAAGTGAATGTGAACCTGAAGACGTGTAAGATACCTTAGCTGGAGTGACTTTGACAGACAGGGCGTTGTTGAAGAATATCAACACGGATGGGGGGTCTGACGGGTTTGGGTAGACTGCAACGCTGTCGTCATCTTCAAACTCGTAGGTGTCGTTTTTAAAAGGGAAGCCGGTGTCCACAAGAGTGCCGTTCATATAGAGCTGCACGTTGTTTTCTGCAACTAGGTTTATCTGGACAGGTGGGTGGTCTCGCTGGTAGGCCACGATGGCAGAGAAGCTGGTTGCATGACTGGTTCCTGGAAAATACAAATAATTCCAAAATACAAACTGTGCCTTTACGTCGATGAAGGTTAGACATCCAGGTAATACCATACGCCAAAAAGCAGTTACTCAAGCAACTGGATATGATTTTGAAAACGTCAGACGTTTCAGCTAGTATTCACTAGCTTTCGTCAGTGACTGAGCCTTTCATACTCAGAATCTGTCTTTAAATACAACCGTACACAAAATACCATACGTTATTTAAATATTGTATTATGAAATATTATAGTTCACTTCTTGCAGAGAATGTGATCCATAAAATCAAACCCCTGTCACAAATTCATGAATGTGGCCTCCCAAACACTAGCCGAACGCCAGCAATGGTGTTCGAATTCAGTTACTATCAGGCTGCACCAGCCGAATGTTTCGAAATGTTTAAAACACTCGAGGGTAGGGATGGCCGAAATCTGACCGGACTGCTCCCGAACGTCAGCCGAACCTTGTCGGCAACTTGCACATGGTTCGGAAACAAATTCGAGGAAAGGTAGTGAATATGTGGCAGGGAATTTACTGGCAACAGAAAGAAATCGGCAAAAGCTTACGGTCACCTGCATTGCAGCCGATAGTGATGATCATTGAAATCAAGGGGGGAAGGGTAGGTCAAGTAAATAACTGTCTCTCTTGCAATTCACTTCAGTGTTAACTTAAAAACAACTAGAAAAGTAACATTTGCAAAGCAAATGCATAATGTTTACCTTCGGATATGGTCTGCTTTGTTAATTCTTTAATACTCAAACCCATTCACATACATGTACATGTATACGGTGACAGGAGTCTAAATGCCTGCTATGAAATTGTAACATTATGTAACCCAACACCAGTTACTATGGTGACAGACGTCAACAAAAGAGGCCATTGGCCAGGTCAGAGGTTAGTGTTTGGAACAGAAGAAGAAGAAATGGAGCAAAAACAATATATTTTCCTTCGGTAAACATAATCAGAATGCACATTTACCAACATAATAGTGTTCAGAATAAGAGTTAATACAAATACACTATATTTTTTTATATTTCATCGATTAAAACAAAACTACAAAGGTTACCTGATGCATACGCAGTACGCCCTTGGAACTGGTACTCGTTACTATTGGCGTCCAGAAGGACGTATTCTCCCAGGCCGTTAAAGGTGAACTCTGCACCGTCTAACGTGCGGATATGCGGGTCATATCTGGACCAGGAGAGAGCTGCATAGAAAAGTCCAAATTCAGACAGAAAATTCAAATACCTTCCTAACAAAGATGAACCTATAATGTTGATGCCACGTGGTAGTTGGGACAAAATGGCTACTTTGAAAAGGCTTAACAGCAGAGGCCAGTGTTATTTTCAGAATGACTACATTATATTGATACAAAACAACCAAACTTGTAACATTTAGTCACAGACAAAGGAATTTAACTTTTTTTATCCAGTAACAGAGTTACATATTAACAAGGAATCAAACGATTTATTATCCAGTAACTAAGAAGTGCCCGCCCAAGCAGACCCATAAAAGAATAGTGTCGACCGTACGTACGAATTAAAATGGGGAAATAGCTAAAGTCATTTAAGGCTCAAATAAAGAGGAAAATGTAAACGTAAATGCGTAAAAGTTATTAGCAACTATCTATTCACACATTACAAACACTATTTTCAAGGTCACCCCTAGACTTCGTAGAGTCTGTATCAGCAAACTCTGCCGTCCGCGGCTTTAATGGGGCGGCTGGATGTTGGGCGGCTAGCAACCGTAAAGCGATTTAATCAGGCTAGATTTCGTAGATTTAGAAAAAAAGGATCTACAAAACGTGAGAACAATTGATTCTGCTATTAAGTCTGCCTTTAACAATAGTGAAAAATAAGATGCCTCTCTTGATATAAACCAGGTCTTACCTGAGGTGACGTCGTAATGTCTACAGCTGGTAGCGCAGGTCGGCACAGACAGAGGACGGCGCTCTCTGAACAGCTGACAGTGATAACTGGAGGAACCCTCACAACAACTCTGCCGCCCTACCTCATCCAGCGCCGCATTGTTCTGAAAGGTATTAAAAAAAATCACAACCATGGTTATGCTAATGTTAACTTCACTTTTGTCATTAGCATGTAGACCTATTATATGTTCTAATGAGCCCACATCTTGCAGTGGATATATAGCTGTATTTCTACAATATTTTATCGACAATAGTAGTTGTTTATTGCAAATTCTTGCCCGAGGGCTAATTGCAGGAACAGAAGAAACGTATGGTATAAAAACAGACAATTAGTACACATAGAACTACTGATAACTACTAAGAAACTACTAGTAAAAACTACTAGGTTTGACTTCTTTCGTGAGTAGGTTGTTCCAAGAACAATACCGAGAATGTGCATGCCCCATACATTCCAAAAAGTTCATGAAAGCCAAATTTTCTCAAATCGGATCTCTATCCGTTTTAAGTCATGTCGAAACACTCTTTATACTCGCTACTTACAAATAGAAGATTTTCCGCTAAACCATTGCTACAGATTCTCAAAGATGACGGCCCCGTTTATGCCCTTGCATATTTTGTCACGCTTTCAGGTGGGCTTAAAGATACAGTTTCATGCGGTGTAAATCCAAACTCACCACCACAAGGTTCCCGCCAAGCTGCCCGGAGATGAGGGACCCTCCGCCGATCCTCCACGCCTGTGCATGTCTCCATCCCGGCCGCAGGTAGCTGTAGTAGGCGATGTGGCGGTACCAGTAGCTGGGCTGGTAACAGCACGTCCGCCACATGCGGTACACCTGCGATCCCACGTACGAGCGCACCTTGATACGGCTTGTAGCGCAGGATCTGGAATTCTTGACGGAGAAGCTGTAGCTGCAATAGAAAGTGAATCTTTTATTACCTTCATGAAAAATGGAGGTATTGTTTTTGGCGCGTCTGTGTGTGTGTGTGTGTGTGTGTGTGTGTGTGTGTTTCCGCACATTTGTAGTTAGCATATGCATAACTTCAGAACGCCTTTATGGAGTGTGATGATATTTGGTATGCTGGTAGGGCTTAGGAAGCCGAAGATCAAGGTTAAATATGGGCCTCCTGGTGGCTGACCTTGGTACTGCAGCAGAACCTTTGTATTTTGAGGGAAAACAGATGTGCCGGTTTATGCAACAAAACGCCAGCTGTCAAAGACTTCCTCTAACGCAAAACACGTGTGGTCAGGCAGCGCGCCTACCCGGTTTGATTGATGTTCTCCCTCTGGAATAGCCTACATGTACTGAGTTGACAGCCTGACCTATTTCAGGACAAAAACCTGTGTTATTTTGTTCTGTATTGTAGTGTAGTGTACTGTGTAAAAACATTTACAAAAACTCATATATTTCATGGAGGTTTGTGATCTCCGAATTCTTGTTTGGGTAGTTCCTTAGTTCTACAACCCAAGAAGGCTACTTTCAAATGTAGCCCATGGTGACCAGAATACAAACTTTTGAGGTAATATGACAAATAATATTTGAACATAGGAGTGATGAAGTACATAAACAACACCAAAAAGCTACATAACAGTAACTCAAAACTATAATGCATTAACATTGCGTCAGTAAAAGTACAAACTTATTGATTAGTTAAGGAATGATAGAACATACGGTGGAAATAATCATCTGAACAAAACGAACAACTAAACATAAGAAGCAAAATTTAACATTAGAATGCCATCGATATTTCAGTTTTTTAGCACTATTCAGACCTAGCTTATTACCTCCGGGGAAGGAGATATCCTTCCGCGAGGAGGTTTTACTATTGTTCGAAACATTTCTGTCAGCAGCTGTTTCTCGCGATCGGCTGGACGGATTTGTCTGTGGTTCGGTATACGTATTGCTGTTGGGCTGCAGATGATGCAGAACGTTTTTGTTTAATTGCATATGTGTTTATGGGCGTCGAAATAAAAGGTTTTTAAGTGCTCCGGACACCCCCGCCATGCTGAAAATGGAATTTACCATGTTGTTAAGGAATGGGGAGGTTTCAGTTTTGGGTCTTACCATTCAAAAGGGGTCAAACAGAGGGGTGTCTGCTTCCGATAAAAACGTTGGGTGACGGCGCAGCAATGACGGCGCGGGATGACGGCGGGGGTAATGGCGCGGGTGACGCTGAACGCTGGGTGTAAGCCGAGTCAGCGCTAGATCTTCGTGTCGCGGCATTTATTTCCAGAAATACGGCGATACACGTCAATTTATTTCAAGTACGGAGCGTAGCTAGCATGGCAGCAGCCAGCAGAAGCGGTGGGCGGCGGTATGCAAATCTTGCATGACGTATCCGCGTTACGCGTCTCTGATTGGTTGTTCGCTTCAGCTGAGATCGCCGGGCGGCAACATGAAGGGCGCGGGGACGCGATTTTTCTGTTTGAAAATATGCACTAAACGCTGTTTTCCAGGACTGCATAGCCACATCTAGTGAAAAAGTGCACAATTAATATAAATTTGGGGGGAAATATTTGTTTCTTTGTCGATTTATGGTGTCGATTTATGTAACCCGGAAGTGCAGCCGAGACCAGCGCGCAGCGTAGACCAGCGTGGCAGTTTGACGTGTACGATCAAAACATAAACAAAACTCCCGCTGAAGAAGGGAAATTATCCTGTATGTATGCATTTCAGATCCCAGTGACTATGTTTACGGTGGGAATAATTGTGGATACGCACGATAAGCCTCAGAAATTTTAATATGTCGCAAGTGGGGCATTCTATAGGCTTGCACGGCCAATGTCTGGCACGCTACGCGGCGTACGTACACTGCTGCACATCACAGCCAGCGATTCAGTGTCTTAAAATATTTTTTAACATCAGTATAACAATATTTTTAAGCATATGTGATCAAATTTCTGTAAAAAAAATTTCCACAATTGTAAACATAAAACATGAATAGATCGCTGCTATACTGGGCGTACCATTTCGCGTACATGGCCGGCTGCCCGGCGCAAATACTGTCCCGATTTTTCTCAGTAGAAAACCAGAATAAATCACGCACCCGTAATTTGGCTTCGACCCAGAGCTCCTACTTCAGAGTTGAAACCTCAAAAATAGTAACTTTATTAGAGCATGGAGGTATTATACCTCTATGATTGGAAGAAATATAGTATTGCGACACGTGCATAGAATTTGACAAATGGGGGGGGGGGCGTGGCGCTACCTAAAATTCTGCTGCGCTACCTAGTTTTTGCCCTAGGTAGCACACTGTGCTACTTTGCTCAAAAAAGTATTTCGAACGCTGCGTTAATCAACAGTCCATACCGAACCAACCGTCAGTAGCCATCAAACCGGCATACAAACATATTACGCACATAACTTTCATACTACACACAAACAAATAACCTAAACCAATAGAAAAAAAAACCCGGAGGTTTGAAATCTACGATTTCCCTTGTTTGTTAATGATGTTACAGTAATAGAAATGCACAAGGCGTTATTATTGTTAAGCAGCATGTGTAATTTAACATGAACGTCAATACTTTATTGTTTAGACCGAACCTGAAAACTAAAAATTATTGTTCAGACCAAATATACTGAATTTTGCAAAAGCATGCCAGAAACACGAAGATTATATGTACTCAACTCACTTATATGAATTTGTTGTTCCATACACATCGGTCACCAAATCTGTTTGTTCTACCGCAAGCAATTCAAACGTTATCATATATCTGACATGAAAGTTGGCGCGCTCCTCAAAAGCCTACCCCATTGAACACCAACCATGGTTGGTGCCCTTTCGGCTTGTGTTCGGGAGGCAGAAATCGTGAATGTTTAACAGGGGCTCAAGCCGAAGACATAAGTCCCAATCGATATCTAAGGTCAATAGTATAACCTACCTTCTGTCAAAGTAGGCCTGTTCGGCTGTACAGGGACATGACCCGGGAACGGGCACGAGGTTGTAACCCGGGAGTGTTTCAGGAATTACCGGGTTGAGCCGAAGCCACGCCCCGCACTCCGCCACCGCCTGACTCGGACACGTGTCTCCAGCTTCCTGCAGGGCGTATTTGAAGTTCCCTGCAGCAAAAATAAAATCAAACAAACACGATCAACCATCGACAGCGAATTTGATGCAAGAAAAGGAATGAAGAGGTTTTGAAAATGGAATCTCGCGATGGATAACATAAGATAATATATTAGCACATTACATATTACCATAACATAACATAACAAAGCATAACATAACATAACATAACATAGTAAAACATAACATAACATAACATAACATAGCATAATATAACATAACATAACATAATATAACATAACATAACATAGCATAACATAACATTAACATTACATAACATAACATAACATAACATAACATAGCATAGCATAGCATAGCATAGCATAGCATAACGCAACATAACATAACATAGCATAGCATAACATGACATAGCATAGCATAGCATAGCATAGCATAACATAACATTAACATAACATAACATAACATAACATGACATAGCATAGCATACATGTAGCATAGCATAGCAAAACATAACATAACAAAACATAACACAACATAACATAACATAGCATAATATAACATAACACTGATAACATAACATAATATAACATAGCATAACATAACATAACATAACATAACATTAACATTAACATTACATAACATAACATAGCATAGCATAGCATAGCAAAACATAACATAACACAACACAACATAACATAACATAGCATAACAATTGACAATTTATCTATAATCACAGAGTCTCATTGGCGTTAAGCTCTTTGAAATGAAATAAAGTAAATGCAATAATGTTATCCTTTTATTTATCGAGCAGTAGTTATAATCTAATAGAAAAGCTACATACCTCCATATGTGCTAGGTATGCGGAAAAGAGTCTTCATTCTGGACCCATGTCCAATCTCCTCTTGGTTTTCTCTGTTCCCGTTTCCCGCGCTGTAGCCGGCAACAGCTGGGTTGAGTATCTCAGATGATCTTATTTTACTCCTTCTGTCTGTTCTGGCAATCCTCGCTTCAGCTGCAAAAGTTAACAAACACGGGAACAGCCAATTAAGTAAGAAACCTTTAAGTAAGTAGCACGATATTTAAGTGAAATCTAAACGATTTTTATTAATATATTAATATAATCACTTGTGAAAGTGATAGAATAAAAGAATAAAACAACAACTGGCAGGCTTAGTGTAAACAAAACATGCACTTACTAATTATTTTAAATTCGTAGAGAGCAAACCAAATTAAAAGGAGAACGTAAATAAAAGATGGATATCATTAAAATCACCGTGGGCAAAATGCAGTTTTTTTAACAACGGTTTCTCCTTATTGTTGTGTCGTGACCATAAGTATTATTTAGGAAATCGCCAAGACAAGAACTGCATAGTGATCATGGATTGAAACATGATATATTTTGGTGGCTATTTTGATTTATTTGAAATTAAAAAAATGAAATTCAATACCTTCCGTGAACCATTCTTGTTTTAATGCCGGGTAGATAAAATTGGCAAATGACTGACATCCATCGGTAGAAATAACCAGTTGAAAGGTGTTTCTCTGCCAAGAAAAAATCAAATAATTAATAGTTCTTTATCAATTACGTACTTTATGTATGCTTTAGAAATTCAATTTCAAATATGACTTCGTTTTATGATCCTTGGGTGCAACAGTGCAAGATTGGCCATATTGATACTCGAATTACTGTGGGAGGCAATACTCTAAAATGTACCAAGGACTCCGACCACTTGAATGTTTTCTGTTCCTGAAAGGAGAACAGCATAACAGCATGTTATGACTTAGAAATACATGTAGACACATTCATAATGTGCAATGATCCGTAATATGCCCATACATACCCTCATGACTTTCAGCGGCACCGGTCTCTCTCCTCTGAAGGCGGCCAGGCTTGGTGGAAGGTTTGCCCAGGTGATCACCATTGCCCACACAGCCTGGTAGTCTATGGTGAAGAGAAACATCGGACATTATAGCAGAGGGAAGACTGTGGGGTTCTGTCAAAGTGCCCCCTTTGGTGATTAGCACAAAATGTTAGTGTTTCACAAAAAGAAGTTATCCAAGCAACTGAATAGAATTGTCAGTTTGCACATATTGTGTAACTTTTATCTTGTGATGTTTTACCTTCATTGAGGATGTGTGTCATTTCGTTGCCAAATGAACATTGTGTATAAACTATACAGATATCCACTTAAGTTGCATACAAGATACCTATATCGGCTTTAGACATTTGAAAAGAACAGAAAATAATCCGTATTCCTTATGACACTAGGAAAAACCAGGTTGAAGCTGTACATATTAGTTTTCATTAATATTCATAGTTTAAGTAAGATTATAGCGTACGTCTGCTATATTCATGTTAGCAAGAGTACGAAGTGAAATGACGTATCTAAGACTTTATTATGAGACATGAAATATATTGCAACGTGCGCATTTTTTCTTTAAACGCAGTTGGATTAATTCAAATACATGTAGGCATAACATTTCACAATTGTTGTAATCGACTGCTCTACATTTTTATCATTCCGGTGGCAAAAAGAAAACAATCACATGATATGATGTCTTCAGATTTCTGCCTAATAACAGTAACCGTTTTGAACCCTCCTGATTTACAACATTAGCATATTACACTTGAGTCCTTAAATTGTCAAGGGAACGGGGTGTGGGACAGCGCAATTAGTTATATTAAATTTGTGCACAAGATGTCTGCTTCGTATTGTTTGTCTGTAAATTTCTGTGTGACATTATGTAGTACTATATCTTTGTTAATTACTTGTTGTTCGATGGCGGAGCTTATATAGCTAGCGTAGTAGTAGAAGTAGAAGCTTTTCCAGACAGTTGTTACCTGTCTCCTGTTACTGTATTGCAATGAGTATTATACTTGATTGTACAGGCAATTAGCCTTCGGGTATGATTTTGCAAATAAAGTTTCTAATATATAAGTGTAAATAATTTGTGCGTAGCCTTCGAAGTATTGTATTTTCTTTCATGTGTTTCAATAAAAAAAATGCTGCCTACCTGGTAGAAAGTACCTTGGCGTGCTCCTGCCGTCTTGACTCGCCCTGTTCAGAATGTTTTCCGTGTGGCTGTCTCCGTCCCCCTGTAGGTGGATGCTGTAGTAGATCTTCGTCTGGTCCTTCTGGGGAAGGCTGTTGAAGAGTGTCGGGTCGGACCGTGCGAGGTAAGGGACGAGGACGGCCCGCTTCAACCACTGCGGATCGGACAGGCGGACGGGGGAGTTGGGCCTTGCGATGCTCGTGAATGAAAGAAGGCCGTTGTCACAAAGCTGGAGCGATAAAGATAATGAAATGAAATAAAAATACCTTTATTGTACATTCATGCCACGACGGGCTAGGTACAGGTCAAGATATAACAGACACATAACAAACGTATATAGAAAATTGGAGACAAGAGATGCACTACTTGACTTAGACATACATACATATAGAACATACAAGGGTACTGTACTAGGCTAATACAAAGTGTTCTAGTCACTGAGCTAATATAGAGAGGTCAACTTCTTCTCGCTTTTTTGTACAGTGGAAAATGTGGGAGCAGATCATGTTTGATAATAACAATATAGTCATGCTGTGCATGTATGATGATTCATTCAGAGTCTTGTACACCTAAATGTAGATTAAGTCATTAGTACCCACTTGTTTCTGTATGTTACTTACAGACCTTATGAAAGTCACCGTACTTCTGTTAACCTTTGTCCTGCTGACATTCCTGGCACAATATGTGTCAATAATTTCATGTCTTAATTAGATCATAGACCCCCAATTTTTTTTTTGCTCTGCGGTGGCATAGTTACTTCCGCATTCGTTGCGTTTCCCTGCGGTGTGATGCGTTGCACAAGAAATACCCCCAAATCGTACCTATACAGGGTGCTTTATAGATGGTACTGTATGTGCAGAACGACAAATGTTGCATTCAGCAGGACAAGGGTTTTAATTCTTTTGTACCCACGTGTTTTTCTGTATGTTACTTATAGACCTTATGAAAGTCACCGTACTTCTGGTATCATAATGTATCATAATCATAATTTTTTTTCTATTGATGACATCTTGATCTAGGACCAAAACTGAAGAGTAAAACTGATTTGACTTTGATGGCATAAAAATGTAAAAATAAAAGCCTTTTATTCTAAAAAAACGATGCTTTACGCAATGACCTACTCTCCAGCAATGTTCCACCACTGAAAATGAAAGAAATTCATAAAAGACATTAAAAAGCTGCACTTACCCACATGTTGAAGTAACGTTCTGTGAAGAAACGGAAGCCTTCTGGCGGTGTTGGCACTTTCAAACATCGCTCGTAGTCCCAGACCTTGTGTTTTTGACCGATTTCGTCGCCATACGGGTACATGTCGTTCTCTGTTTAGATAGAAAATAGAACCTCGTCAGCACAGCTAGTTATCTATCTATTATGCTATTTAGTGTGTATGCTGCTTAGTGTAAATATTTGATGTTTGTTGTCCTGGAAAGATATATAGTTTACATAATAAGGTTTATTTATACCAAGACTCTGTTGAGCGATAACACAACGAAAGCCTTTTAGAGTTTATAAGAGAAACTAAATCGTTAGTGGGAGCATTACAATAGCAACTTTGGTGAACTCGATCATAATGCAATATAATTCATGCTTTATGATTCATGATTCATGCTATTTGTGTGGCGTCGGGTGGCGTAATGGTAGAACGTTCGACTATGAACCGGGGAGACCCGGGTTCGATCCCGAGTCGTAGCAGGGAATGTCTGGACATGTGCCCGACGTTGTGTCCTTGGGAAAGACACTTTACACAACTTTCCTCACTCCACCCAGGTGTGAATGGGTACCTAACTTCGGTTGGGGAAAGTCGTCACCTTGTGGCGCCGAATGTCATGTATCACGTATCATGTGTGTCATTTGACTGTTGTGATTTGTATTGTTTATGATGTGATACCCTGCATCAATTCAGCCGTATAAAGACTGCGACTGCATGGGTACTGTTTGGCCAATAAAAACATTTATTTGTTTATTCATTATATGCCCAATCTACATCTATATTACACTGGATAAAACCCCTGTAAATCTCGTGCAGGTCCTGTTTGTCTGCTTAATCAACAATGTGTGCTTGAAACAAATAGCAGACGAGAAAGAGTACTCACCACGGCATTCCGTTCCGCTGACGAGACGGTGGCGAGAGCGACATGAACATTCGTAACTTCCGACGGTGTCTCTGCACGTGTGCTCACATCCGCCGTTGTCCACCAAACATTCGTTGATGTCTGCAAGCAACATGACAGTGAAAAAAGTCCTGTTTTACTTCTCTCTTCTTTTTCAAGCTCCTGTCATACATACATGTAGTCGAATATGGTTCCCGAACACCAAGGGTGTGTGTGTTTGGCTTAGGACCACGAGGTTCCGGGTTCGAATCCTACCCATGTCAACGACCTTGTGCCCTTGGGAAATGAACTTTACACGACTTTCCTTACTTCACTCTGGTGGAAATAAGTACCTAGCTTTGGTTAGGTACGTCCCTCGTATAGGACGTTAAATGGAGGTCCCGTGTTTGGGGAGAGGTGGGGCATGAAACCGGCAAGACTGGCCCCCGAATTTTATTTGACCTTGTTCTGTTGTATGGTGTTCGGGGAATGGTTCTGTATGCTTTACTAAACAAGGTCCAAATGTTGGCCTCTTTCTCCCCGGCTCAGTTGGTGTAAGGCGTCCCACGGTTGACCACAGCAAAGATCTCATTTAATATTATAATGACCTACTTGAATATTGTAATGAGCCAAATGCAGTCTTGAAGCTTGTACATATGCAACAGTTTGAGTGATAACCCAGTGTCTCTGCCCCGCCTGCCGTTTTACATTTGATTTGCGCGCTAATTCCATCCTGTGGAGTTAATTGGTACCCCTCTCTTTTGTGTTGGCTGATCAAGAGCAGAACGGATGTCAGGCTTGCATAAATACTAGTAACACAGACAAAACAACTGTAAGCAATGATCAACAAGTTCTATTTGAAGCTCTTGCTGTAAGTTACAACACATTTATTCTGATCTGAATCTGGCCCCCAAACAACCTGAAGATATATGTAAGTTACCTCCAGCATGACATACAAAGGGCCCCTTTAGGAAGGGCCACGAATATAAAAAAAATGGGGATAACTGACAAGGAGAGTGGGCCACAGTGATTCCCTATAACACTAACAGATAAACATGGCCTCCCGAGCTCACCCAACCATCATGATGGTGATATAACCTCCTTGGTTAAGAGTCGGGAGCAAGGTCGGCTACAGTGTTCGGCTGTATCTTAGTATCTAGTATCTAAAACATTAGGGTGTGGACAGTACGTTATTAGAAATTCTTTGGAACATCTTGGAAAAGGTTTAATAGCCCCAACTATTTCCGATAAAGCTAATCTCTGCAAATTCACCCAGGATTGACCCGTTCAAACTATATGCCAGACAGTTCCCAGCCTCAATACACATGCTAGGCCCTGTTATTAGACTCGGTTAGAAAAGGAGATATGATATACCAAGAGACCATGGAGTTTGGTTAGACTAAGGAGGTTATATTTAACCTCCTTGGATAGACCCTGTGAAAAAACTTTCGGAAGGGAAATGCTGTCCCCTGGATTGAGAAGGTAGCCTACATAGCAGCCCTGGTAACAGTCTGGCACCCAGGCTATGAGCCGTATAAACCTTTCATTCAATTGTTGTCAATTTGTTACTGTCTGTAAAACATTTTCTTTCAAGACCTATATTGAAAAAAAGGAAAGCTGGGCCGAGCTGTAGTGAACAATTACTGCGCATAACAAAAGACTGCCAACCTTTTGTCTTCTGGCAAGGGCAAATTACAGATAATTACGTCTCATAGAGGTGCTAAATACACGACTAATTGGCCTACCGACGTGATTGACAGCTAGAATTTGCTAAGAAGGTAAAGATTCATAATCTTAACTTTGAAGCATTTTGAGGAACTATAGCCATGCCCAGGGAATGTCAGATTTAAAGTAGAATGATTGGTAATGTCCTGAACTACCCAAACCTGTTTAGATCCTTTTGCTTATCATGAACTGTCTTTTGATATAGGGCAAGGAAGTTAGGGTTACCCTAAAATTATGGCATTGAAATGGACAAAAACATATTTCATAAAAAGCAGGAATAATATTTCAAATATATTAAAACAGTTTCTAAATGGTGACAGATGTAAGAATGTACCCTCCAAAAAGCATCTGTCTATGACGTTGGCTATAGTTCCTCGATTTACGTTTTCTGTTTAAGAATTATGCATCATATCAGACATAGAAATATGCAAATATAAGAAATATAACAACATGAAAGTAATATTTCAACACTCAACAAGTTGTATTTTGCCTTTCCCCCAAGTTTGAACCATTTCTGACCAGCTACGGCTGAGTTATGGCATTTTTCCGAAAGGACCTGAAAAATCAGTAAATTGGCACCGTGGGACGCCTTACACCAACTGAGGCCATCTCCACCCTCTCCTCTCTCCCACTCTGTCTTAATTTGCTCAATAGACTCTAACTTGTTATTAACCAATAATCAATATTACCAACAGTATATTGATCTCATCATTATTTGTATATTTATGCCCATGGGGCTAAATGCACATATACTGAGTATAATATGGCAAAAGCTGGATAATAGTATAAAGCAAAAGTCGTAGGTAATACATTCTAGCAGATGGAGATTAATTCACATAATTAATTTTCTATTGTGTATAGACATAAGTGGGTGTTGGAATAGTTGCATATCTCATGAATATCTTATGATTAACACTATTCTTGTTACCCTTACACATTGTTTGTAAGTGCATTGTTCTAAATATCATGTTAGGTTCAATATCATACAGTTTACAGATATATTCCAAATGTAAAAAAAAATTAACGTGCAAGTACTCACTGTTACATGTATGTCCGTCCGCTGCTAGGTTGAAGCCGTTGTTGCAGGTACAATAGTAGGACGTTAATGTGTTCACGCAGGTCTGCTCACAACCGCCGTTGCCTGTTGCACATTCATCAACGGCCACCACATCTAGTTATATCAAGTAAGAGAAATAGAAATAATAATAAAATTGCACGATTCAAAATACAGTGATACGAGGTTAACGTGTGTCTGTCACACATTCGCGAATTTGGCCCCTCAAACACTAGCCGAACAACCCCCCCCCCCCACATGGTTAGGAATAGGTTGGCCCAAAGTTTGCCTGATCACCGTGGCCTGATCGGGAAGTGTTCGGCGATTTAGGTGTGCGCCAGACGAATGTTTCAAAATGTGCAAAACACTCATAGTTGGTCGGGAGGCTCTAGCCTATGTAACCCAAGCTCCGGGGGGCTCCCTACATCGGGGACCGGCTGGATGTTGGGCGGCCGGCAAAAGCGATTTAATCAGGCTAGGGAGGCTCTAGCCTCTACCAGGCTTCGGGAGGTGGCTGTAAAGAGTATCGGCCAAAAAGAGAGATGACATGCCAGGGGAGTTGGTCTGCTGGAGACAATAGTTTGCCGCATGGCATGTTATCTCTCAGCCTCTACCAGGCTTGGGGAGGCCGCTGGAAAGAGTAGAAATCGGCCAAATAGAGAGATAAGCATGCCAAGGGAGTTTGTCCGTTGAGAGAAATTGCCGCGAAATATTCTCTCAACGGACAAACTCCCTTGGCATGCTTATCTCTCTATTTGGCCGATTTCTACTCTTTCCAGCCGCCTCCCCAAGCCTGGTAGAGGCTAGGGACTTTCGGCCATGATAGCTGGTGTACATGTTTGGCTGTACGTCTGAAGACGGCTGCCAGCCAACCATTTGGAAGTGATTTAGTCAGAAGTGTTCGGGTATCAAATTTGACTGAAATTTAACTCAAATTCGTTTCAATTCATATAGAAAGATAGACGTGGCCTGTATCTGACTAAAGTACTCCCGGACTTCAGAATGTATGACAGGGGCTTTAGGTGATTTATCAGTAGACGGTTTGCTGAATTACTCGCCAAGTCATTTTGTATTACTTGTAGAGAAAATAAATGTGACATCAAAATGAAACGTTTCTATGTCAAAAAGTCAGGAATCCTAATTACCTGTGCAGTAAGTCCTGTTCGCATTGAAGTACCCGTCATGACAGCGGCAGTTGTAGGAGCCTACTGTGTTCTCACAGTCACTGATGTCCGGGTTACACTCGTCTGACCCAAACCAACACTCATCTTCGTCTATAATTAAAAAACACAGCACGTGATTCTATTATAGAGTAACAGGTATTTACTTCTATCAGATATACAACTATCACAACGGCTACGATATCAACATTGTACATGTATAGCTATTAGAGCTTTGTCCACCTGTTTTTGTTGCCAAACGCTTTCTAGAAAAGTGTACAATTATACTAACTGTGTTTGACAATGCATTGCCTTTTTTATTTGATTCATGAAATAAAATAAGTGGTCACCGCACAACAGGTTACAGCTTAGGAACAACACGACGTTGACGTGTCAATACACTTGCCGTTTGACAGTACATAGCATCGGCCGTTTCAAATTGCAACGACCGTGTACGAAACTGGAATAAGATTATTACGCTGCGATGACTAGTAGTAAAGAAGTGGTTACCTTCATCGCACTGCCCTCCCATCCAGCCTTCTTCGCATTCACACACATTAGTGTCGACACACAGGCCATGTTGACATGGTGAATAGCAGTCCGCTGAAATAAGATAAAATAAAAGTTTAGTGTCGTCTTCAAAGCAAATACACTTCGTCAAACAGAAGTTAAGGAAATCGGAAAGTTCACAAATATTTGGCATGTTGTCACTACAAAAAGTGCATTAATTATGCATAGAAAGTGATGACTTATGTTGTGGGCAAGTCAAATTAAAAGCTTTATCTGTTAATGGCTATTAGTTTATATGTTGTTACAACAATCTTCGAACCGAAAAAAAGGATGTAGTATGAAAAAAATGTACTTAAATTATGACGTAATGAAGTGATTAGCATCATTACCTTGGCATGTGTCGTTGATTTTGTTCCATCCAGGGCAACACTGGTAGTGGATATAATACTGCTGAACGTACCGGACCTCCAGGATTCCAGGTCTAAAGGACAAGATACACATTTTTGCAGGTTTAGTTTATTTTCCTGTAATGTTTTTTCTCAATTGCCTTGCAACCAAAACAAAGTAAACTAGAGTTCCACTAGCACACACCTTCGCCAAACCATGTTAACTAATGTTTTCTAAATGTTTTCCGAGCTTGATTATTATGCGAAAAACATCCTCATTCGCCTGAATTACATTAGTTGACCTCATTCTACATGTACACACTATAATTGTCATATCTAAATTAAGAGGCCATTGTAGCATTTCCTCGTATTATTTATTGTTTGTTTATTGTCAATTTGCACATAAAAAAGTAACAGTATTAAAAGAAATTATATACAAGCAAAGATATGCTGGAGAGCCCAAGAAACCTGAAGGTTTGTCTAGTGGACTCTCCCAAATCCTATTAATTTTACGATATATCTCTTATTTACATACATTTATTACATTACATTTAACTTGCAATGTATTAAGGGACAAGCAAACAAATTAACTCAAAATAGGTACAAGATAATATAAAGTTAACACGGCGAATTAAATATCTAAACAATAAAGTAAGACAATCAAGAACATATCATATTGAACAAAAAAATAAATTTCCATTAGTCAAATCATAAGTTATTATGAGTAAGAACAACATAAGAAACCAATATTAACACAAAGAAAATATCATAGCATAAGAAAACAAGGAAAACAAAAGCAAATCAGGAGGTGGTAGTTGGCTTCTCTATCAGGTCAGTTTTTAAATGTCTTTTGAAAGTTGGAAGGGATTGACAATTTTGCTGTGAGTGACTTAAACTGTTCAAATTAAGGGGCCTCTAAACAATATCGTGAACTGTTTCATATTTGATTTTGTCAGGATTGGCCTTAAATCATTTTGCTTTCTAGTACTCTAACTGTGGATATCTGAGTTGTATTGAAATATGTCCTGAAATTGAACTGGTAATCGTGAACTTTTGTGTAAAACTTTATGGACAAAAATTGCTGTTTGGAGTTTATTTATGTCATACACTGTTAAAATTTTCAAGTTGTAAAATAGAACCGCAGAGTTAGCAAAATGGAACATTAGACGCGATCCTAACAAAGCGCTTCTGCAGCTGATGCAGCGGACGGATTGAAGTAGTGTACGTACTAGCCCAGACTATATTACAATATGTTAAGTAGGGATAAATCAAAGTATAGTACAGAGTGATAAATATTTTACGTGATAGGCAACTTGCATCTTTTCTTATTATACCAATATTCTTATAGATTTGTTTACAAATAAGGTCAATATGAAACTTCCATGTGAGTTTCTCATCAATAAGGACTCCTAGAAATCGTGTGTTACATACCTGTTTGATTGGTTTATTGTCTATGTATATCATAGCCCTTTCTTTGTCGTATTTCTTATTTCTACCTGTGAAGATAATGAAGTTCGTTTTATCTATGTTAAGAGACAGCTTATTTGACTCAAACCATTCGTTTAGTTTACACAGCTCTTCATTAACGGTTGTTATTAGTGTATGAAAATTATTGTGAGAAAAGAAAAGATTAGTATTATCGGCAAATAATAGAGCGAAGAGTTTGACTGATACCAGGGCAAGGTCGTTAACATAAATTATCGTAAACTATGCAAATGGCACCATGATTTGAATAAAATATGTTTCACAAAGATTACCATTATGTAACTTCAGTTTTCAAAAAAAAATTAGGTACACCAAATATATTTTAGGTATACATTACCACATAAATCTAATGATAAACTTGAAAGTAAAATATTACCAACCTTACTGCTCTCCTTGTGAACTTATTAAACACTAACTTCAAAGTTTCGATCAAAGTAATAGGTAAGTTTTTTTATCCTTTTTTTTTTACATTGTTGTAAGTACAGTTTTTTTTACTGTAGGTAACAAAAATTTTCAGGTGCACCAGTGCACCCACAAAAAAAATTGGGTGCACAGCTAAAATGATAGGCGTACAAAGGTGCACATACATGCACCCATTATTTCGACCCATAATTACCGTGGCCGACAAGAACAAAATTTTTACACCGCAACTTTTGGTGTTTTACACCGCAACTTTTGGTGTTTTACACTGCAACTTTTGCTGTGTTTTACACTGCAACTTTTGGTGTTTTACACTGCAACTTTTGCTGTGTTTTACACTGCAACGTTTGCTGTGTTTTACACTGCAACTTTTGCTGTGTGGAAAACTTACACCCCTCCCCTTTTATAATGGACGGTCCCCCTGTCAGGTCAAAGGTGACAACGATGGCATGCAAACTACGTCGACTGAGTTATCCTTTTCGTGCATAAGTTTTTTAGAGGAAAAGCTTGGCTACGTTGTGACGTTAGTTTTTTTCTAAAGGCCTTTGAGTCACGTGACATTTTCTAGCTAGAGAATTCGGACTCGCAAGGTCGCTAATAATTTGATGAGTAAATATTGGGCCTATGGGAGTCAAATGTGGCACCACTTGGTACTATGAAGCAATAAAGACTTATTTTCAATTATGAAGTGTTGACTCTTGACTCAGGTAAGTTATCGATCATTAGGGAACAATACGAGCGATCGCCATGACGTCACCGTAGGCAAAAAGTGGGTGCCAGTTGGCTGATTTGCCTACCAAGAATTTGCATATGTCTTCAAATAATTTGCATGCGTATAATGTAAACAAAAACAGCGATCGCTCGTATACAAATGTAGAATAATATTGTATACAATATTTATTCAACATCTAATCAATGTTAATTAGTCAATCACTAATTTATAAACTGTCATCATGGAGGCAATACAGTGATGTGTAAGTATAGTAAAGTTAGAACACAAAGAAGACAGAATTATAAATCATCAATTTATTCACAGCTTGATCAATTTCTTAAGATCCCATTCTGTTGATGTCTCACACTCAGTCACAGCACGACAATAACATCTCTCAGGCCGCCGCCATCTTTGTCACCTTTGACCTGACAGGGGGACCGTCCATTATAAAAGGGGAGGGGTGTAAGTTTTCCACACAGCAAAAGTTGCAGTATAGAACACAGCAAAAGTTGCAGTGTAAAACACCAAAAGTTGCAGTGTAAAACACCAAAAGTTGCAGTGTAAAACACAGAAAAAGTTGCAGTGTAAAACACAGCAAAAGTTGCAGTGTAAAACACAGAAAAAGTTGCAGTGTAAAACACCCAAAGTTGCAGTGTAAAACACCCAAAGTTGCAGTGTAAAACACCAAAAGTTGCGGTGTAAAACACCAAAAGTTGCGGTGTAAAATTTTGTACTTGTCGGCCACGGTACATAATTATGCATTTTTATTCTGATTTACGAAACACCTTGATAAAGAACAAACTCCTTGATTGTGTTAACTTACTTAGCTCAATTGGCATAACGGATTTTAAATCAAAAACATTTGTGTATTTCTTGCCTCTCTCTATTTTGAACATCTGTGTAAAACGCAATGACGAAAATGTAGATAGCAATTGGAGGTACAATACCTAGGAGTGGACATCCGCAAAGCATCTTCAATAGCGTCCCAGATGCCGGACTGTCGCCTCCTCCGTGTCTCCACCAGGATACTGACCTGCCGGGACTCTCTGGAGGAACACACGCTCCCATCCGGCCTGGGGAATAAAGTGATATAAAGTAAGTTAAAACTGTAGTTTGAATTACAACATAACAAACTGGACATATAAAAGGTTACCATGTAATCTTATATTTCAAATAGCTCTGTTAGCATTTAATTTAACATTTTAATGTCCTGGGGTGGTGGGACTACGGCGCACAGATATGTAAACTTTGTATATTTAAATGTTAATTGTACCTTTTTGTTGTGTGGCGCTGTTGATATAAGTTGTTAACTTGAGTGCAGCGCCACACTGTCCTTGTTATGTTTTTTTATGTTTTGATGAATTAAAAAAAAAACTGGACATATATATTACGGAATTTTGACTGCACAACCCCTCTTTGTAGATGAATGAGAGATCCATCTATGATCCACTGCTCACCGAGTCATCTATGTCGTCTGCATGATGTGACGTCAAAAAGGCAGTGGATCTCTTATTCATTGATATGTGTTACAGCATGTGTGTTAATTGTGTTTAACTTTAATATAATGTTGATGCATGTCGTTTACAGGTTTGTTACAGATCACTTGGCTTGCCTTAGCCGTCGTCAATGGGCGCCACCATGCGGTGTTTCTAATATGTACACCTTCTATCCTATTGTAATTAACCCACTAGGGGGTGTTTCATGATTCTCTCTAGGATCAATTAATGGGATAATACCCCTATTATGTAATTAACTCACGGGAAGGTGTTTCAAATCTCTGTCTACTTAGTAGGTAGAATTTAAGGCCCAAATAATATCTGATTTTATGAATGAGACTACAAACAAAACTAGAAAGGCCGACATTTGCTTGGGAGCAAATACAGCATATTTCAGTCCATCTCCTTCCCACGCAAAAGTGGACTATTCCAAACTTACCCCAGTGCAAAACTGGCAAAGGTTCTCAAATAAATGAATTAAATAGTAGCTATATGAGAACAAAGGTGCAACAACAAGTACTTTCAATCTCGAAAGCTTTACTAATCTTATTACAGGTATGCAAAAACTAACAATGATGAGATTTGATACATTTTGAAGGTCTTAGGCACATAAAATTGAATGTGTGCACGATGGTCAAATTTGGGCCCAAATATTCCAACCTTTTCATCGAACAGAATCATGTTCGATATGACGTCATTCGAATCGAATCATGTTCGATATGACGTCAATCGAACCGAACGTTCGTTCGATCCGGGGTTACCCGCGGTCATGTACAGTAAACCCGCGGCTTCAAGCCCGTTTTTACACGGGTACCGCCTAACAGTAAAAAATGCACCTTTTCACAAATATAAACCAATTTCGGGACAGTATATCTATGCCCTGTTTTATAGTGGATATGTGACATGTAACGAAGCTACTGCCGTTATCGTGTGTGACCTTGAAGAACGTAATTGTTGTTTACGGGGATATAAGTTACCCCCTGTACTTACTCACACGACCTGACATGCGTGCAAACATGGTATTTAAACCGCAAGAAAAACAAATTCAATTTACCTCAAAAACGTTTTAAATTGTAGGTAAGACAAAAATCTCGATCTGTGTCGGATGGATTTTTTAAAGATGGCGGCGTTCTGGAATTATCCGTCTTGAAAGTTGAAAAAGTGCATTTTTTGGCGAATTTTTATATCTTACCAACACTTTAACTTTGAAATGAAGAAAACTGTCCGACTCAAATCTTAATTTTGTTATACTGTTCTCTAAAATGCAAAAATATGGAATTTTCGGAGAGATTTGGGGTCGGTTTAAATCAGTTGTTTGGTTATTGACGTCGATTGTTCTAGAATAAGCATTCGACGCGTCGAGAGTGATTTCACGCACATTTAAGCATTGTAATAAAAACACCAACATTTGAGCTATATGCAGTGCGGATTTTATCACATTTGAACAAGAGAGTCCCCGTGAAACTGTTTATAACTGATGAAAAGAATGTTTACCGCAGAGACCGGCTCCACGGAAGCCGCGCGTGGAACCCCGGTAACCTGATACCCCTCCGTAGAATTGGAAACTTTACCCTAGAAATTGACCGCCGTGGTGGGTCATTACGCACCACTTAGGTGCAATGTGACCTCAGGTAACCCGAAATGGAACACGTCTTCCATGGATGGAACCGGACATTCTTTAGATAGAACATGGAACGGGTATAGCACTTTTGGCCCTTTTTTGCTGAAAATAGCCATTAAAGTCCCCCAAATGAGTCATTTGGAAGTGGTGTATGCCAAATACATGACTGCTATTCTGTAGACACACGTTCAAGGTACCCTTATACCGAATGTCATATCATTTGGTTGTAACACCAGGTCTCAGGATCCAAAAATCCATTTTTTGTCGAAAAATGCCCCAAAAAACCTTCATAAAAATTTTTCAAAGGCATGTTTAAAAAAAAATGAAAAAAAAAACGTCTGGAGGTATTTGCCCACTCTACCTCCGTGCCAAATTTCAAGTCATTTGGCTGAATGATGGCGGAGTTGAATCCCTTTGACTGTTTGGCAGGAGGAGAAGGAGGAGGAGGAGAAGGAGAAGGAGAAACATGAGGGAACACAATATCTTCCATCCATACCATGGTATGGACTGAAATATAATTACCTTTTCTCAACATGTACACTGATCATCCTTTAATGCTTTACCTGTCTAGTTACAGAAGTCTATTTGTTATTCCTCTATAGAAGATATGCATGTAACATCCATTCTTTTTTCAAACACGACCAACACGACCAGCTTCAATTAATTAGATAACACATCTACTTTCCTATTACTTTGCCGGAATAAATTAAAAAAAGGCATAGTTATCATTATAAAGAACTAATAGAATAACACCCTTACTATTCTATTACTTCAGCAGAATATTAAAGAAGTCTCTCTATTACATCCCAACACACATTATACATAAAATGTACGGATTTTTTTTTTGAAAGGTCGGGAATATTTTTCTGGCACTTCTAGCATCTCAGAGAGCCGTTAGTACTGTAAGAAAATTGTTTACGTGCATGATTCACGTAATCTCCCTTTGGAAACAAGGGGGATATGTCGAGTGAATGGGCGAGGATTTGACAATAAATTAAAAACTTATTATATCTGTGTGTAATTGAAAAATGCCTAGCCTTTTGCTTGCATTTGTCTTTTTTAAACACATTTAAACTTTTCAAGCTACAACATGTCCACTACAAAATGACGGCATCGATGTTCTGTCCAGAAATTGGTTTATATATGTAAATTGGTGATTTTTTCCCATCTAAAAACAGGCCCGAAAACCCGGTTTTACTGTAAATGACCGCCGGTGAACGCCGTTCGGTTCAAATCTCGTCAGATCGAACATGGTATGGGTTATAAAGCAGTATTTGACGTGCGTTGACGCCACTCCTTCCCCACGTTTTCAGAAAAACGTAGCAGACGTAGCCTCCCAATAAAACGCACGGACAAAAAGCACGTACGGCGGGTTGGACATTAGGGCCCGAATTTTACCACCGTGGTACATGAGGGGGCGCCCTCGAAGGACCTGGACTAGTGACCTTAAGGAATGGACAGGACATCCCCTGAGTCACCTGACTAGTCTGGCTGAGAACCGCCCTGGGTGGATAACTCTTGTGGACAGTTTAGTTGCCCCGACGGCAGGACAGACTGCTATAGGACCGGTGAGGTGAGGTGAGGTGAGGTACATCAAAATTCATGTACACACATAATCATAATCCCACCCACTCAAGTGATGCATGACGCAGTACTGTCAGTAGTATAGCCAAGTTACTAACGTTAATGAAGGACAGGAACAAGTAGCGTACTTACACCAAAGCGTAATGGTTCACGAAACCGAATTGACGGCGATGTTACGCAAAATATAGAACTAGAATTCCACTATCTCATACCTTCACCAAATGATGTTAATCTTTATGTCTGACAAATTATAGATTATTCCCCGGATTATGCAAATAAGATCCTCATCACCATGAATAAAATCAGTCGATCATGTCTCCATAGAGACATCTTACTTATATACTTTACCAAAGACAGTCTTACTTATAACAAAGAATGCCATTCTAGCATTTCCTAATGAATTATGCAAATGCGATCCCTGGACCAAGACAAATCTCTTCCCTCTATCCTGATTTTATACAACAAAAAAGTAAGTGAAGCAATTAAAACACACCCCATGACTATTGTCAGCATAGTTCATTCGAGGTACGTCCAGTATCGTAGTAAAACAGCAGAAGTTTAGGTGGCAGAAGTTGTCCGAAGTTACGACCATTTCCGCATCCTAACCTAATGTACTAGGTGGCACTAGTGGGGTAGGGTGACAGGTGTCCAAAGATGTCTGAAGTTACTGTGAAGTCACTGTAACTTCCGACACTGGTGGTATGCTTGTAGCCAGGAATTTGAATCGGACTCCAACTGTCAGAGAGACCAGTGAGTGCCGAATGCGTGAGGTTCCTAGGGGGGTCCGGGGGCATGTTCCCCCGGAAAAGTTTAAAAATTGAACCTTCTGATGATATGACATATCAAATTATATTTTGGACATAATTTTTTATTTAGTGACAAAGTGAGCAGTTTTTCCACGATTCCGGCCACCCTGGTGATACGAATCTGTCCGCCTTTTAACGAAAAATCTTGGACCTTTAGATAAAAAGTGGACCTTTGAGCCTTGTGGGGGATTCTTCTGCCCCCCCCCCCTCCTCACACACACACACACACACACACACACACACACGACTACGGGCATGGGCTTGGTACGTAGGACTTTATGCTGAGATTTTGGCACATGATCTACTGGTGAACTTCTAGCACGATTCAAAGTGGCTGATTTGAGCAACAGAATGTTTATTTTGAACTAATATTATGCCATGTGTTCCAAGAACTTCCACATAGATATGACACACAGTCTACTAGTCTTTTGTCGAGCACATCACAATTCCACGGCTAATATAATTATGCTAGGAGCTAATAATAGTGTACACTATTCTCGAATTCCGAAGGCTTCTGTGTTTTTATGAAGATTTACCACATTTGTGGAAGAATTGACATAACAAGTGAATACCGCCTCTTCAAGATGCCAAACCAGTGACCAGACTGTAGGGTTTGAACTAATCACACCGGGAAGGTCCCCTACTCTTTTCGATAAGTGTGGTGGGTTCTTTAACGTGCATGGGGCGTGGCTCTCCCAAACACGGGACCTATATTAACGTCCTATCCGAGGGACGTCCCTAACTGAAGCCAGGTACTCATTTATACCTGAGTGAAGTGAGGAAAGTCGTGTTAAGTGCCTTTCCCGAGAGCACAAGATCGGTGACACCGGGCAGGATTCGAACCCGGGACCTCTTTGGCCTGGGCCGAACACGCTACCGCTACTCCACACGATCCCACCTGTTTCAGAAATAGATGATTTAAAACAGCCAGCAAGAGTTGAGAACTGATTAATTATGATTTTACTATGCTGAAACAAACTGTGTTATTGTGTACTTACCCTTGTAGTAACACCTGTGCCGCTACAGTTGACACTGCGAGCACCATAAAGAAAACTGTTGCAGGCTGAAGAAGCCACCCCATCCTGTTGTCGTCTTCACGGTGTGGCTGATGTCTTTACACGTTTACTTTAGCTCCTGTTGTTTTATGATGTAAGAAAGACGTCTTAACGAGAAACAGGTGTTACACTCTCCACCAAGTCTTGACACGTCCGCGGCTCACCACACGACGCCAGGTAACTGAAACTTGAGACCGTAGTTTTGTCCCTGTACCAGTGTTTGTTTTGGGTAGCGAAAATCTGCATCACAAATACCGGTAGGGTCAGTGTCACCACTGACGCACATGAATGACTCCGTGAACAAAACCAGGGCAATTCTCTGTAAAATACAGTAAAAACGCGACAAGGGTTAAATCTGTCAACTTTGAACGCTTTCTTGTGTATCAGAGCTTTAAATACGTTTGGATTTCTGTGCGTTTCACCAGTTTGACATCAGGTGTATCGCGTGACAGCAAGTGACACATTGGACAATGAAAGTAACATATTTAGTGTCTGGAGGGGTTTGCATGACTTATGTGTACAGTACAGGTACTTTGGATACGACAGCTGTTATTGTGTTTGTGCTTCTCAAATTTCTTGGCAAACGCTTTGAATAGCCCCCTGCCGGCGTGGTGAACTTTTGAGGAAGTTCATTCCTTTAAAATACCCTCTTCAGCGCACATGAAACTATGGGTTCTGCTTTTTAGTACTTGGTGGTCCGAATCAGGTCTGTAGTGTAAAGAAGACCTGAAGTATGGCGATTTTCGCATCTGTTAAGAAAGTTTTTCTGGTAATGATTTTGGCACAGACCGCGGTGTCATTTCGCCCCAACCGGTTTAGCGCCTTCTACGGTCTTGACTATACACATGAAGATATCACCAAGACGGCAGCACTGAAAGTCGTGGCGAAGTTTTTGGAAGAAAACCCCGAGGAGGGCCGTGCGGTTACACCCGGCCAGCTGCAAAACCTGGACCCGCTTACAGCGTCAAGTATCTTCAGTAGTTACTATGGAGGTAGGTTTTTCTTGTGTATTGCATTCTACAACTGAAGGGTTTAAAATTACTTTTTGTAAAATTAGGCCACACCGACTTAATTTTATGGATGACATCCTCTGAAGACCCCCAAACTAGTGCGCGCGGGCGGATGAAAAAAAATCCAGCCAAAAATAAAAATGCTAGCTAAACCACAGGAATACAAAGCTGGTATTGTGAAATTTACGGCAGTACATAGCGACGTATACGACAAGCCGGCTTTTTGTGGAATTTATGTTCTGAGTTCTTGCCAGTCGTGGAGCTTCGGTAGCCTGGGTGCCGTCCTCCAGAGTTACCACCGGCTCCGTATTGTCGCTAACTACCATGGACTACCCAGGCCTAGAGCCAGGCCAAAGCCTCAGAGAACGCGATCTTTTTTTTTTTGAGAACATGCGAAAATCAATGCGCGCTTGGATGTCATCCATAAAATTAAGGCGGTGTGGCCTTAATTTTCCCGGTGATTTTTATAAAATACGTTGAATGAACCCTGCCTGATTGTATAAATGTTTAAAAAAAAACCGGAGGTGCCAAGATGACATTTTAGTACACAACATGATAGCGTTTAAAAGCTGGAACCACACGTGTTTGTTTACATTTGGTATTTTATGGTGGTGCCACACCACCATAAAACCCGTGTGGCCTGTTTTACATTGCCAACCAAGAATAAGATAAAACATTTCAATATTTGGTGCAAAGATGGCACATTTTAAAAATTTTATTGTTGTTTGTTCCAGTGTAAATTACTTCTTTTATGCGGTTACCATGAGTGTGTAGCCATGTTCAGAGAGAAAGCACTTTTCTACTTCTGACCATAATAGTTGATATCTGTACATTAAAACATAAATGTTCAATATACTATACAGAATTACAAAGTTACAGGCAGCACATTTATTGCTTTGCTACCAATCAACTTCAGTTTTAATTTCAATATTTAAACCTTATCATTGGGTCTGCTACTAGGCCTATATTTAGTACACAATACGCAAACAAGCAACCAATCGTTTCTCCATAGGCCCAGTGTCTGCCAAGAACTTTGACGACGCTATCGGCGACATCACAAAAGCTAATGCAGACATTGACCAGCACGACCTGTGGACGTCCAGTGTCCATTTTAACGCGGAGCAGTTTCAGACTGGTGAGTTCAACATCGTATTGACTGTTTAGTCCTCTGTCGTCTTACTGTTTTGATTCCGAAGAATTTTCAGCTGCAGGCCGTGACAAAAACACTAGTCAAAAGGATCCAAGACAGCTTTCTACATAATTAGATTAGATTAATTACTTTTTGTTTTAAATGATAGCCTCGAGAAATTTGAAACAAAGTTGCAATAGTTATACTTAATAAAGTAAGTGGTTCGCTTCTAAAACAAATGTTCTATTTTGAAAATAACACAATAGACAACGTTCCCTCCGCCTCCTATTGCTGTTAGGTAGGTTTTGTAGTTATTTTATTCTCTATTCTAAAGTTCTTTTGCCTTTATTATTTGCAATGAGTCTTTGTGGACATGTAATATACATATATATGATACTTTCTGGTGTGAAGTGTGACTGACCAAGACCCGGAAAAGGAGATTTCTATTTTGTACATGTCACATACAATAATTTCAGAAAGTGAAAATGCATATTACTCTAAAGTATGTGATACAATACAGCTGTGCAGCGTGAATACAGGACAACAACATAATAGAGCTAAGAAAAAGATTGCATTTTGAGGAGTTTACAATTATTGGGGCATAGTCGCAAGGGTCTGGGGCAGCTGTCATTCGGTGCTAACTCAGGTGACCTCAATTCGTCCCCAGGTGCGCCCATCAGACTGTAAGGTTTGAACCACTCACACCGGCAAGGTCCCCTACTCTTTCCAATAAGTGTGGAGGGTTCTTTAACGTGCATGGGGTGTGGTGTAAAAGAGCAGACTAATTATTTGGGGGTGGGGTAAGGGTTGAGATCTACGTATACGTAGAGGGGGCAAAATCGCTTGCGATATCACCTCACGGGGGGGGGGGGGGGTGATGAAATCCATGGCGATATCACTGTGACGCCTGACACCTTAATTTGATCAACTGTATAGTGGGGTGATATCGTTAGCGATTTTACACTTTCTCGTGTATCAGAGCTGTAAAACACATTTGGACTTTTGCGCATTTCGCCACTTTGACAGCAGGTTACAAGAAGTGACAGATTGAACAATAGGTAACAAGAGGGTTTGACATGACTTGTGTGTGCAAGTATCTAAGATACATCAGACGTGCTTTTATTGTGTTTGTGCTTCTCAAATTTCTTAGTAAACACTGTGAATACCCCCCTTGCCGGCGTGGTGAACTTTTGAGGAAGTTCATTCCTTAGGCCACACCGCCTTAATTTTATGGATTAAATCCTCTGAAGTCCCCCAAACTAGTGCGCGCGGGCGAATAAAAGAAAAATCCGGCCAAAAATAAAAATGCTACTAAATCACAGGAATACAAAGCTGGTGTTGTGAATTTACTGCAGTACATACCAACATATACAACAAGCCGGCACATGCTGGCTTTTGCCGAAGTTATAAGTCGGCAGTCTCGGCACTGTTCGTATGTGAGTTCTTGAGTCGTGGAGCTTAGGTAGCCTGGGTGCCCGGCATTGTTGCTAACTACCATGGACTACCCAGACCAGAGCCTCGGTGGAATGATCTTTTTTATAAACATTTCACAAAGACACTTTTAGAACAATAAATGCTAAATTCTGTACCTACACGGAGCCTACAGCTATACATACTAAAATTTCCTCTTCACATTCGAAAAATCCCTTCTATACATTCTAAAAATCTCCCCCATACATTCTAAAAATCACCGCCATACACTCTAAATTTGAGCTCCGTACATTCTAAAAATCACCTCTATGCACCTCTGTTAACTTTTAAGTTCTCGTTTGAGAAATTCTTGTAATGATTTTAAGGAAAACTGTGCAACATTTAAGGAAACTGTGCAATATTATGTGTCTGTGAATTGTATCACAATGTTATGTGTTTAATGTTTCCCTGCATGTACGGTCATAATTCATGTACACTTTGCACAGCGGACATTCAGCATTCGACATTAAACACATGGAGAGAATTTGTGGTCCGTTGTCTGTATGTTGAAAAAGCTGCCTGCTAAAAGTCAAAATAGGCGTGTCATTTCAACACGTTATCTATAGTAAACTTGGTCAAGCGAAGATCCCACCAATACGGGGACGCCTAAGCTTAATATCCTGTGGCTTTCTGTTGTTCTGTTGTGACAAACTTATCAGATAAGACCCTAAGTATGTATAATATGTAAGGTGTGTTAAGGTGTTACGCTTAGCTATTGTAGTGCGCAAAGGAGTGCCGTTTCTATAGGTTATTTGTTTGGTCATGTGGAACAGGCCACAACGACTTGATTTTATGGATGCCATCCTCTGACGACCACCAAACTAGTGTGCGCGGGCGAATAAAAAAATTCCGGCCAGAAATAAAAATGCTGCTAAACCACAGGAATACAAAGCTGGTATTGTGAATTTGCGGCAGTACATAGCGACGTATACAACAAGCCGTGGACTGACTACCCAGGCCTAGAGCCTCCGAGGACGTGATCATTTTTTTTTTGAGAACAGGCGAAAATCAATGCGCGCGCGGATGTCATCCATAAAATTAATTCGGTGTGGCCTTAGAAATACCATCTTCGGCGCACTGGCGTGGACATGACAATTAGACTGGTTTGTTTGGCGTTGCACGCAAGAAGCTTTGATCAGCATGTTGCCTCAGCACGTGTAGCATGGATGTGTGGATAGTTTATGTCATAGACTTCCCTTGGTAGGTTTAACAATGGTATACAATGGTATTAAACATACACCATGATAACAGCCCAAATACATTGAATTAAAAAATACAGGTAAATGTAAACAGCCATTGACAATAACAAATTGAGTTAACAATACTTTTTACCCTCAAACCACCGTATAGGGTCAAAACTGACCCCAGGCGTATATAAATATGCGACATTTTGACATCTCTTGTCGGAAACAAAATTCCTTCTATGAGTTCTGTTTGTATGATGTGTCTTATAACTTCTCATACGTTTTTATTGAGCTTGGAACATTGTTGATTCAGTTATGATCCTAGAAAGTTTATGAGTGGTCCAGTGGGGTCAAAACTGAGGGTGGGCCGGCTATGGCTAGTTCGGAGGTGGTTAGATGGCGGCATCGAAGATGTAACGGCCGTTTCGGACGTGGGTTCAATAAATGTGCGTATTCCAAATCATGTTTTAGAATAAAACACGTTTTTGAATGCATTTGTCCCTGCAGCACTCACGAGGTTGCGCAATATACGGTCGACCATCATCGGGACGCTGCAGAAGGCTGACCTGACTGACCTGGACGTCTCCGCGGCACGGATCAACACTGGGTCGTACCTGCACACACTGCAGGACTTCTACAGTAACACAAACTGGGTAGAGAACAACGGCGCCGTCATCTACGAGGATCTGGGTGAGTTGCATATCTATTACTCGGTAACTATGCAGGAATGTAAATAACTTTATGGATGACATCCGCGCGCGCATTGATTTTTGCCTGTTCTCAAAAAAAAAAAGATCACGTCCACCGAGGCTCTTCCTGGCTCTAGGCCTGGGTAGTCCATGGTAGTTTGCGACAATATGGAGCCGAGCATCCAGGCTATCGAAGCTCCACGACTCAAGAACTCAGGACACACGTACAGTGCCGATTCATCAATTCCGCAAAGAGCCAGCATGTGTCGGCTTGTCGTATACGTCACTAAGTACTGCCACTATTCACAATACCAGCTTTGTATTCCTGTGGTTTAGTAGCATTTTTATTTTTGGCCGAATTTTTTTTTTATTCGCCCGCGCGCACTTGTTTGGGGGTCTTCAGAGAAGTCAACGTGGCCTTAGGTCACACTAAGTGATTTTTATGGATGGCGTCCGCGCGTCAGTTCTCGTAAAAGAAGAGATTCCACTTTTTATAACTATGACTTGTACGAGTCACGGCAGTGTAGCAAACCACAAGGTTGAAAGATGCGATGAGAGAAACAAATGGGGTGACAACTGCTGTTCCACTGATGTGTATGTTGTTGTTTTAATGACAAATTTCAGACAAAATTTTCTTGTTGGTTGTTACACTGTGTTCTCTCATTCAATTTGAATCAAAACATTGGTCGTCTCTCAAGAGAACGTCATCCATGAGATTATTTGGTGTGGCCTTATGAAGCATTTCGTATTGAGTCCTGCATATTAAGTATGTTGCACCAAACTAATGCTAGGGGATGCCAGACAAGAATATTAAAATACGTTGTGAGTCCTGGCATAGGTTCGTAAATGAAAATTATCCCAAATGTGTTTTTTGATCTTTACGCCAAATCTCGTACAGCATTAGCAGCCTAACTGCCGATGGTAGACGAAATGGTGTCAGTGTGGCTTGAGGAAAGATTTTACTGCACATTTGAACTTCTATTTACTTCGTAGTTTCATAGTTTTTACCCTTTTCCTTCACTATGACTTTCTACATGTGATTATGTTTTCGGATACGAATCAATTATACTGCATTTAGCATTGTGGTTTACCTCGAAGCAAGTACAACACACACAATATATCGGACACACACGGACACTTTTTAAGTTTAAAGCCTTTAAAACCATAGCCTTGTTCTTTATCTTTCTATAGTCCATTGTTCTAAATGCCCTCCCTTCTCGACATTAGAGTGGGCGATAACAATCAACGCGTGACTGATCTGACTAAACACCCGCCACTTGGTCGCCATTGTTGATATAAAAATCTGCATGGCAACCTTCCTTGTTATCTCAAGTTGCCCTAACAACCGTAAAATACCTTACTTCAGGCAATGCACCTTACCCTGCCCTTTCTTAACGGACCAGTGGGTGACTTTGTGAGGGAAATGTAAAACTCATAACGCCAAGTATAGTCTGATGTTTTAATCAGTCTGGTACTAGAAGTTACACGAAGCCACGAAAGAGAAATATTTCCAGTAAATTAGAAGAAAGAAATATTATGAAATTGTTAAAGACTGCTATAAAATACAACTCTAGAAAATGATGTGAAGTTCTCACTTGTTGTTCGATTGTAAAGATGAATTTATGTTTCTCTGTGTACTCCCTCTCTCTCTCTCTTTCTCTGTGTGTGTCTCTCTCTCTCTCTCTCTCTCTCAGTGTGTGTGTGTGTGTGTATCAATTTATAACTCATGTGTATGTAGGACTGCGTACTTGTCCCCCGGTGATGACCAGACATTCTTTGAAAATTTGACTTTGAAATGTATAGATCTTTAAAACCATTTTGACTTATCCATATTGAACCATGCGAATATCCCGTTGCCCTGTTTTTAACAAAAGCGGTCTTGTTCAGCAGTAGTCACAGCACTACAGGTGAACAAGTTTCACATTATTTAGACATGACTAATGGTGGCTGTACAAACAACATTTGTCAGTAACTTCTACTTAAATCCTGTAAGCACCTCTTTTCCACTCTGGTGACTGTCAATAGATGCTTTATTGTTTTAAACACGACGTATACGAGAGTTCCAAAACACCCTGACGGTGTAACATAAACTTTGCATCATCTTTCAGTCACGACACTAAAATGTTTGTCAAACAATAACATTTCTTCCCTACTGTTTAGGTATCTTGCTAAAGTGGTTCATTCCAATTATCCACCCAACTTTACGCTCAGTGAGGACTAGCTAATTCCTAAATGGTATCTGTATCGGTATAGCCGGTATAACCGCCCTTTCGGCGCAACAAACCAGCTTCGCAGGCACGCGGCGCGGCGGCAGCTAGCTATATCACACCAATTAAAAGACTTGTTACACTCAATCTTTGCACATTTGATTGCAAGAGTTGTTTAAAGCTTTCTAGTGATGATGCCCTAACTGTGCTTGGTGGCAACCAGTTCCAGTCTACGATAGTTCTGGGGAATTACGAGTTTTTGAATACCTCAATTCTTTGTTGACACGATAACTCTGATATTTGAAAGCATGGCTGTTTCTTTTTCTTTTCTGGGCTGGTATCAGATACTTAGTGATTGGTACATCCACCAGTTTATGGTGGTATGAAACATCGAACATGCTAGTTCTTAATCCATCTATCCACGGTACAAATTCTTCAGATATCCTCTATGAAAGATTTTATCAAAAATAGTATGCGGTTCCAAAACAACCTGCTAGGTAGCCAAAACCTAAAACGTTTACTAACATAATGCGACCTGATCATGCATACCCCTTCCATCGTGATAGAATGCGTCCAAAGAGATCATCAATGCACCATCTCCCAGTATGGAACTTCTAAAAAGAGGCTATATTTACTTCCTCTTGAAGTTTTTTTTTTCCATAGTTTTAACATTTTCCTTCACCTTGACTTTCTACATGTGGTGGTGTTTGTGGATATGTTTAAATAATACTGCATTTAGCATTGTGGTTTAACTCGAAGCAAGTACAGTACACACAATATGTCAGACACTAAGACACATTTGAAAACCATTTAAAACCCTCGCCTTGTTCTTTATCTTTCTTTTGTTTTCTATATCCTCCCTTCTCCGCAGATTTGTGTTGGCGATAACAAGATCAACGCGTGACTGATATGACTAAACACTCATCACTTGGCCCACTTGGCTGTCACTGCTTATATAGGTCTGCATGGCAACCTTCCTTGTTACCTTAACTCATCCTAACAACCGTAAAATACCTTACTTCAGGAAGATGCACTGTGAGTGGCTGACTTCGTGAGGGAAATGTCAAACTCAAATCGCCATGGTATACTGTTGTTTTAAATAGTCTGGTACTAGTAGTTACACGAAATTTCGTGAACTAGATAAAAGAAATATTATGAAATAGTTAAGGAATGCTATAAAATACAACTCTAGAAAATGATGTTAAGTTTTTACCTACTTACGGTGTTTGGATGTTACAGGTAAAGATGAATTTTTGTGTGTGTACTGTTTCTCTGTGTATTCTCTCTTTCTCTCTCTCTGTGCGCGCGTTTGTGTGTGTGTGTATGAGCATGTCCATTTATAACTCAGTGTGTGTAAGACTGTATGCGTATTTGTTCCCTGGTGGTGACCAGACATCCTTTCGAACTTGGCTTTGAAATATATAGATCTTAAAACCATTTTTACTTATCCATATTGAACCATGCGAATATCCCGTTGTCCTGGTTTTTAACAAACGCGGTCTTGTTCAGCAAAGCAGTCACAGCACTACAGGTGAACATGTTTCACATTATTTAGACATGACTCATGGTGGCTGTGCAAACAACATTTGTCAGTGACTTCTACTTAAATCCTGTAAGCACCTCTGCTCCACTCTGGTGACTTTTGTCAATACATGCTTTATTGTTTTAAACACGACGTATAAGAGAATTCCAAAACACCCTGACGGTGTAACATAAACTTTGCATCATCTTTCAGTCACGACATAAAATGTTTGTCAAGCAAGAACATTTCTTCCCTACTGTTTAGGTATCTTGCTAAAGTGGTTCATTCCAATTATCCACCCAACTTTACGCTCAGTAATGACTAGCTAATTCATAAATGAAATAAAACACCGAACACGCTAGTTCCTAATCCTTCTATCGACGATATAAAGTCTTCAGAGATTCTCTATGAAATATTTTGACAAAAATAGTCTGCGGGTCCAAAACAAACTGCCAGGGAGCCCAAACCTATAACGTTTACTAACACAATGCCACCAGATCATGTATACCCCTTCCATCTTGATAGAATGCGTCCAAAGAGATTATCAATGCACCATATCCCAGTATGGATTTTCTATTGCGTGCGATATACGCTTAATCAGAAAATACCCTCCCCCCAAATTACCGATCCAGGAACGCTTAAAAAGAAGCTATATTTACTTCCTCTTTAAGTTTTTTTCCATAGTTTTAACATTTTCCTTCACTTTGATTTTCGACATGTGTTGGTGTTTGTGGATATGTATAAATGATACTGCATTTAGCATTGTGGTTAACCTTGAAGCAAGTACAGTACACACAATATGTCGGACACCCAGACACATTTAAAAACCATTTAAACCCCTAACCTTGTTCTTTATCTTTCTTTTGTTTTCAATTCCATCCCTTCTTCGCAGATTTGTGTTGGCGATAAAAATATCAACGCGTGACCGATATGACTAAACACCCACCACTTTACCCACTTGGCTGTCACTGTTTATATAAGTCTGCATGGCAACCGTCCTTGTTACCTCAACTTGCCCTAACAACCGTAAAATACCTTACTTCAGGAAGATGCACTGTAAGTGGCTGACTTCGTGAGGAAAATGTCAAATTCATTACGCCATGGTATACTGTTGTTTTAAATAGTCTGGTACTAGTAGTTACACGAAATTTCGTGAACTAGATAAAAGAAATATTATGAAATAGTTAAAGAATGCTACAAAATGCAACTCTAGAAAATGATGTTAAGTTTTTACTTGTGGTGTTTGGATGTTACAGGTAAAGATGAATTTGT